TACCCACCTTGAGATGTAAGTTCCAAGGTCTCAGTATAGTTACAACGGCTGCCCCACCCTTCAAACCGAAACGCATTACTGCTTCACGGCAGAAATAGCCAAGTTTTTTTTTATCACGTAAACGATTGACATCCATGGGCGGTGAGTTCATCCTTCTATATATTAGAAGATAAAAAATAAATGAGGCTATTTACTTACGGTATTACTTAAGCTCGTATATCCATTCAAGTAGAGTTTTCTCTCGAAATTTATTGATTCGTCATTCGTAATGCTAGTGCAAAAAAATCATAGCTTACCAATGCAAAAATCCATAAAACTGAAAACATTGTTCGTGAAAATTAATTGACTATAATAATATAACCTACGGCTTTCTCAGATGCACTATGAAGAACTTAATTAAAAAGAGGCAATAAAAATATTTTCATTACATAGCATTGGTTTTGGGTGGACACAGAAATACTTATTTATTTATTTATTTACTAGCCACACAATACACATTACAAGCTAAAAAAATACGCAAAAAATAACAACAAATAAACCGACTAAGCAAAACAAATGTGCTGAGTTTGTACACAATGGTCCTTACGACTATACGACAAAACAACACGATAACGTAAATCTATCCAACTTATAATGTAAGGAAATTTACTAGGAAATAATTTTACTCACAATATACATTAAACAATTAGACATAATAATTAAATACATTTTTGATACGTTAAAAGTTTAGGATATGTGAAATGATATATAATAAGTATGCATGAAAAGGAACGTCATGACAGTTACGAGTGACAGGGTATTTGACATATGCAATAATAAATTGAAAAGAGACGGTTGAAAAATGAAAGGTTAAGATAGACACTCTGCCTTTTTTTCGAGCAGATAGCCGAACCTCACACGAAGAGTCCGCGCCTAGGAGACACATGGACAATACCGTCTTTACCATAAGGGCAGATAGGGCCCGTGCCCAGGGCCCCCATTCTCAGGGTGCCCCGAAGAACCGACAATTTGGTTGCCAATTGCAGTCGAGAGCGGTCATTTTCGCAGCTTAAGATAATAAAAAATGAATTGCGAACAACAATGTTACAAGAACGGCTGAGTAATTTGTCAATTATGGGCATAGAAAGTGATATCCTTCAAAAAATTTACTTTAAAGATATTATTATAATGGAATATTTTGCTCAACAGAAATCTCGAAAGAAACCATTATCGTTATCGTAACCAAAAAACCAGCAGCATTCTAATATAATTAATATTATTATATCATACTGTATTTGATTACCTATAATAAATAGTCATACTCAGTAAAAAAATGTTATTATAATTTGCTTTTTTTACTTTCCAAAAGGGCCTCTAATTCTTGTGTGCCCAAGGGCCCCAGTCTAGTTTAAGACGTCCCTGCACATGGAGTATGTGTCTCCTAGGCGCGAATTGACTAGACTCTCCTAGACTTGACGGTCTGCTTAAGTTTGGAGCAGACCACGGTTCTAAGGAGGTTTTAGGGACCTACCCAGGAAACTGCTTCCTTTGCACTCTCTCACCTGACATTCGATCTCCGCCCGGAGTCAGAATTTTCACAACTATGTCTCAAGAAGAGTGGTGGTATTTACGGTGTTGATATCTAAGGGCTTCGATAACCACTCACTGCCGGGTGAGCCGTCAGCTCGTCCACACATCTGATCTGATTATTTTGTTAAATTAAATAATATTCTTGGAATATCGATCGAAATTCGATCCTTGATTCGAACCTTGATAGGTTTCTTATTATACCAGGGTCTTCGAAGTTTCTTTCAATGTCCGAACGAACGAAGCATTTTATTTCGTGGCTTCAGCTATGTTTAAGTCAGCTTCAGTTTGACGATAATTTTTATTCCAATCGAAAGTGATACTTTCATTTTGTATCATATAAAAATGATAGCACATGAAGTTGTATTGGAACACTAAATTCACAAGTTAACTATAGGTTTCCGTAGTGTAGTGGTTATCACGTGTGCTTCACACGCACAAGGTCCCCGGTTCGATCCCGGGCGGAAACAATCCTTTTTTTACTAACATTTACACGTTTCCCTGTTATCCTTTTCTATCCCAGAGGTGTGTTCAATACTATTTGTGCACCAAGGGAGAAAAGTAGGACATTTCCTCCCGAGTGTAAAATTGACACACACGCAGGATAAGATGTCCTACTTTATTCCCGCGGTGCATATACTATTTTTTCTCCTACCAGGCCGAAAGTTCGTGGAGTACCGTGCCGGGGTCCGGGGGCGAAGCCCCGGTGGGGTTTAGGGGTGAAGGGGAGACGGAGTCCCCCCATATACTTGAAAAAAAAAACAATTTAACTGTTTTTTTTATTTTTAAATAGACTACTACTATACTAATTGAATAAGAACTGTCTGATAAACTCATATTTGTTTAATACTTCACTATTAAATTTTATTGCCTTTTGTTTATTTCAGTTTTACACTCAACACAATATTGCAAATTACCCGAGCACAACAATGGCGGAGAATTTTAGGTGCGTGAGAGCAGACGTAGACACTAAAGCGCACGCGCACTTGTCAGTACCCAGGGAGGAAAAGTTACACTTTCTTCCCTGTACAGCGGGAGGAAAACCGAACTTTCGGCGTAGGTAGGAGAAAAAATATCATGACTTACCTTGTGTTATTAACCTCGAGGTGTTATGCTGCCTTCACCGAGACGAGCCCACGGGACTCAGCTTGAGAAAATTAAGTAACAATAGCCTAGCAAGGTTGGTGCTCCGCTGATCCACTGAGTTTCTCGCCGGATCTTCTCAGCGGGTCGCGTTTCCGATCCGGTGGTAGATTCTGCGAAGCACTGATCTTGCTAGGACCAGTGTTAGCAACGCCTCCTGGTTTGAGCCCCGAGAGCTCACCTACACGTTAGGGTTACGCTGACATAGCATATCAAGGCTATCAGCTTAGGTAGGAAAAAAAAGCTTCGTTGAATCTACTACCGGATTAAAATCGCGACCCACTGAGAATATGCATCGAGAAACTAGTGTGGGTTAAGTTTAAGGGCCTGTACACACCACGTTTTTTAAACGCGCCGTCGACGCGCGTTCGTAGCCATACAGACGCGATACGCACGCAACTCAGACGCAGCCTGTAGACCTTTGCACACCTGTATAAATTCAAATACGCGTTTGAATCGATACAGACGCGATGCTAACGCCCGTTTGTATCGATACAAACGACAAGAAACCATTCTGTGGGATACGGACGCGATACGGACGCGATGCTAACGCGCGTTTGCATCGATACACATGCGCGTTAGCATCGCGTTCGTATCGATACAGACGACAACAAACCGCTCTGTAGGTAAAAGATATATAAAAAAGGGGTGTGCACAGGCCCTAACCCTTTCGACGGGTTCGATGAGAACGGTAGCCTGTGCTTGGAATACCTAACCGAGAGTGGATACTTAAGTCTTACTTAAGACGCCAAAACTTAAGAATTAAAACGGAGTTTCGCATTTATAGTTCGAATTAAACTTGTTAATCGAGCATCTGAGTCGAATGAATTCCGAACATATTAAATTCCGAGATAATGTGTGTCGGGGTATTCACTTAACATCAAGTCGATCATAAGCTCGTCCTCTTGTCTATAAAACAAAATATTGAGACAGTGGAAGTGCTATCATTCATTCTTAGGTTTTTTTGTTGTTGCTTAGATGGGTGGACGAGCTCACAGCCCACCTGGTGTTAAGTGGTTACATCTACAACGTAATGCGCCACCCACCTTGAGATATAAGTTCTAAGGTCTCGAGTATAGTTACAACGGCTGCCCCACCCTTCAAACCGAAACGCATTACTACTTCACGGCAGAAATAGGCGGGGCGGTGGTACCTACCCGCGCGGACTCACAAGAGGTCCTATCACCAGATCAAAAATATTTAACTTTATTTTCGTTTCCAAAAGACAATATTTAATTTTTCAATGTCATCTCAAATTTTCAAACAGCGCGAGAACTACCATCATTATTTATCCGTCTCTATTTTAAGCACAAGTGATTTAAATCATTAAGTTTTATATATTTTAGATGTTTATTCGTAACTTTAAACAATATGTCTATAGGCCGTTTTTAATTATTCGCATCGTCTTTGTGTGCGAGTTTGTTGTAAGATGTTCGACATTTCCCAAAAATGATATAATATATTCGAGTCTATGTTTTTATCGCACACGCACACACGCACACGCACACGCGCACGCAAACACACACACACACACACACAAACACACACTATTATCTAGCTGGTTCTCATCCCGATTTCCAATTGAAAGATACAGTATACCCGTTATGGCGCTTGAAACACAACGGAATTTCGAGAACTCATCAAATCGAGGGGTGAAAATTAGGATATTTAGTTTAAGCGACATTTGGCTTAATACGCGACCTTTGTCTTTGTAATTAAAGGTGCTTTTTATTTGATACTAGCGACCCGCCCTCGCTTCGCTTCGGAAACTGTAATTTATTATTGATTTCTCCACTATTTAATGGATATCATTATACATATAAACCTTCCTCTTTAATCACTCTATCTATTAAAAAAAACCGCATCAAAATCCGTTGCGTAGTTTTAAAGATTTAAGCATACATAGGGACAGACAGATATAGGGACAGAGAAAGCGACTTTGCTTTATACTATGTAGTGATTACCAACAACAGTTTGATGTTTTTAATTAAACTTCAATTAGGTTTATTCTATTCAAATAGTTGAAGAAGTTTTTTGTCATGATGTTTTTTCCAGATTTTAAACTTTAAATGGCTCTCCTATAAAGTTGCAAAAATGTTTCTTAAACCAAATAGCCATTTAGCCGAACCCGCTAAATGCTAATGTTTAATGTCGCTACCCACGAATATTTAACAAACCGTTAGCCATTTAGTTGTACAGAATTTTTCTGTCTAAAATTAATTACAAATACACAGCTAATTTCAAGGAAAAACAAAAAAACGATTTCAATATTTTTATTTAAAAATGCTTCACAAACAATTATTTTAAATAAATATTTAAAAAAAAACAAAGAATCGGAGTTAAAAACATCTACAACTTGAAACAAAACATAGTGTTCGCATTAAATATTATGTCATAGTTGAAGAGTCGTTGTCTTTTAGCACAGATTATACATTTCCTTGTTATGACCCCAAATGACGTCACAATCGTTCAAATAACATTCGACCGCGTTTTGTAAGCGGTACATTTAACAAATAACGACATTCCAGTATTCCACTTAAAATTGTGCATCACTTTTTCATATCGCGTAATTATCAGACATTGAAAAAAAAAACCCATTAAAGCTTGGTGTGGTCATTAAAAGTCAATTAGCGCCATTTTCAGGCGTTCACGTATCCATATTATGGTTAATAAACAAACATCTGATTAGATGTAGGCATTTATTACTACAAGCTTCGCTGGTAAGCTTGAATAAATATATATATACAAAAATACATATCTATATACATATATCATAGAGGCGTGAATAACAAAACCAATAATTTACATATAAAGGTGGTTTTAACGTCAATTTGTCATAATAAAATAAGCTTTTGTCTAAATTTTATTAGCGCTATGACATGCCTTTCTTCAGACTAGATTAGCAGGGAGCTCCCTGTAACACTCCCTATGACACGATAGATTAATTCCGCGTTATAGCAAAACACGTTGTAGTACGAGTAGTACTCTCGCATAACGCGCTTGTATGACCTTGCTGCCGTATAACGCGTTATGTACAAATGCAATATATTATTATATATATACAATTATAATACAATATAGTTCAAAAAACTAAGAACAAAAATTTAATGAATTAATTTAATTTTATAACAATACAATTGTCACAACGTGCAAAGATACGCGAAATTAATGATAAATATGGCGGAGTGAAATCGCTTAAAGAACACCGCGTTATAAGGAGGATTACTGTGATTATTAAGTAGGCAGTGGCTTGGCTCTGCCCTTGAAATTACTGTCTTCCATGAACGACGGCAACCACTCATCTTCAAGTGAGCCGTATGCTCGCTCAAAAAAAAACCACGTCGAAGACTATATCAGTGTAACTCTGGTACTATGGTCAGGTTTATCTGCTGGCGCCCTCTGACGGCGTCAATCTTCAAACTCCCCGTCGTACTTTCTAGAATGTTGTATATATCGGTTGTATTGTGAACTGGTTTTCCGTTTATTTTGACTACAATGTCGCCTGGTTGTAGACCCCCGCTGAAAGATCACATCACACACTCATCATTGATCTGGTGAGCTCGCGCTGGTAGCTACCCCGGTCACAAGGTGGATATGAGCCATCGCTGTCTTTTGAAGAGTTAACACGACAACGTTAGGCCTTTATGTCTCATGACGAGCAAGTCTCGGCCCGTCGGTGACCTTGAGACATGAGATCCGAGACAACTGTCCCGCCCTTTAAGCTCGACCATCCTGCCCTTTTAGTTCGAATAAAGGAGGATGATTCCATCGTGGTAAAAATAGGCAGGATATTGTATCAGTGATTGGACAAATCTGTATAAATAACACGATAGAGATCTGCCGTTAGTGCACCCAAAAAATATTGGATAGATTTTGATTAAATTATCTTAATTTCGATTCATACGTTTAGTATTTATTTAAAAATAGTTACGACGATAATTTCACTAAAATCAGCAAAATTTAACGAAATGGAACTTGTAATAGGTATATGACCCCTATAGGAGGCTGGACATGCTGTCATAAGTGAGGCTTGAGGTCTATAAGGTTAGCAGCGGCATTTACTTTTCTTATTTCATAAGCACTAACGCCGATGAGCCGTGAACTTCCCAATAAGAAGTCAATAGTCAATATAAAAATCACTCACACCTTTTTTTATTGCTTAGGTGGGTGGAAGAGCTCACGGCCTATCTGGTGTTAAGTGGTTACTGAAGCCCATAGACATCTACAACGTATTTTTGCGCATTTGCGCCACTCACCTTGAGATATAAGTTCAAAGGTCTCAGTATAGTTACAACGCCTGCCCCATCCTTCAAACCGAAACGCATTACTGCTTCACGGCAGAAATAGGCGGGTGGTGGTACCTAACCGTGCGGACTCAAATGAGGTCTTACCACCAGTAATTACGTTAAATTTAATTTTGCGGGTTTGATTATTATTAGACGATGTTATTCCTACACCGTGGAAGTCAATCGTGAACATTTGTTAAGTACGTATTTCATTAGAAAAATTGGTACCCGCCTGCGAGATTCGAATACCGTTGCATCGCTTGATACGAATTCACCGGACGTCTTATCCTTTAGGCCACGACTTCACAATACACCTGCATTCGAATCTTGGCCACGAGCCTGCTAATCGGCCATGACCGGTTCGCGCTCTCTAGCTTTGAGCGCTAGTACTATGACGACGAGTAAGCAGTACTTACTTGAAAGCAGGAGATCCAATGATGACCTTCCATACAAGGATACCGTGTTGAATATCGGTTGGCATCTACAAAATAATTTTTCATATGTTTTTTCTTTAAATAAAAATAACTGGGAACAAATGACGCACGGTCATCCGACCCCAATTTAGGAATCTCTGTGTTATAAGTACCAAATACTGACAAACATATGTTTAAATATATGCATATATAAATAATAAACACCCAGACAAAGAGCAAAGAAATTTATTCATAACAAAATGTTTGCGGGATGTGGGAATCGAACCCACGACCCTCAATGCAACAGTTACGGCCGCGAATACTACACTACCGTGTCAATCAGTAGCAATCACCCAAGGATTCGAAGGTCAACCGATTTTGAAAGTCACAGCAGCAATACACATTGATATGGGCAGTGGAATGACCAGTTCCTATGACAAACAGACTTCGGATTTATTTTTATGACGTTACGATCGCTTGTTACTATTTGACGACAGATGGCGTTACTCGTAGCGGCATTACAATATAATTATCACTTCAATAAGAGTGTCATGGTTCCAAGCCGGTTTCGACCACGGCGACCAAATTTTTCAGTTTAATAACTTAAAAGCTAATGTCCGCGCCTCTCATGCGCTCTAATATGGCTACAGTAGCCTATCTTGTTCTTAAACGTGCGCAAACAGAAGCTACACGTAAGAACACCACCCACGAAGTTGTAAAAAATGGTGGAAGGCGGTATAAGAGTGTAAACAGTCGACGTCGCCCTAAACACGTCATTACGGATCCTCCCGGTCCATTAACGGTGCTTTTAGGTACCACAAGCACAGGTCACCGTCCTCACCGAACCCGTCGCCTGCGACGAAGGGCTCGACGAGTAAATTAACCCATAGACACAGCCCACTGAGTTTCTCGCTGGATCTTCTGTGGGTCACGTATCCGATCCGGTGGTCGATTCTGCGAAGCACTGCTCTTGCTGAAGCCAGTGTTAGCAACGCCTCCTGGTTTGAGCCCCGAGAGCTCACCTATACGTTAAGGTTACGATGACATAACCTCTCAAGGCTATCAGCTTAGGTAGGAAAAAAAATAGTAGCTTTTTTATAGCTGTGTAGTCTCTGAAACCACCTGGTATTGAATGGCTACTGGGCTCTATTGACATCGAATATCTCCATCCTAGACACAAGTTCAAACATAAATGCCATTTTTTATGTGGATAATATTATTATGTTTGGCCCCTAATGGATTGATTAGAAAATAAACAATATTTACCTCGGGATTTCTCATCTTCAACTCCATGAGTATGGAAGGCGTTAATGAGAGCATGGTGATGCCGAGGTAACGCTTCGAGACTTGAGGAGACTTGGTTTTATCTACAAATTGATTTAAAGTTAATACTTTACTGGTGATGGGACCTTGTGAGTCCGCGCGGGTGGGTACCACCGCCCTGCCTATTTCTGCCGTGAAACAGTGATGCGTTTCGGTTTGAAGGGTGGGGCAGCCGTTGTAACTACACTTGAGACCTTAGAACCTATGTCTCAAGGTGGGTGGCGCATTTGCGTTGTGGATGTCTATGGGCTCCAGTAACCACTTAACACCAGGTGGGCTGTGAGCTCGTCCAACCAACTAAGCAATAAAAAAAAATTCAAAGGGGTCAAACATTCACGAGTACAACTTTTAAGCTCTATTGTATTATAGCACATTTGTTTAAATTGCAACATGCTACAGAGACATCTGTAGACGATTAGTGAAACTAGGGATTGGCACAATAACGCCATCTAGTAGAGAGTGGATGATCGAAAAGAATTAAGTCGTGATATTAACTAATCGTTTTGTAGATTAGTAGAGTGATGTGGGTACGTAATTGCTAGTAAGTTTGGAGCATTTAGTCATCAATTAAATTTTATTTCTAGTTATTGAAGACTTAACGGGCTACAGTAGATATTAGGGTGTGTCATTTTCTAGCGGGATAAAATTGCTCAATGAGCTTTTTCAATTAAGTAATAGCGTATTTGGTAGTAAATGTGTAATAATGTAAGGTTTTCATTTAATGCTATACATAGTTTTTGTTTTTGAAGTTATACTTCTTTAGGCGCGTTATGAAAAATTGATGAGAGTGAAACGATGCGCGCGCACCGTGACACAAAATTAACAGAATGAAGTTGCCCACTGAATCGCTCATTACAATACGACCGACGTAACTTGGCGAGTCTGAATATAGCCGCAGGTGAACTTTCCGAACCGTACCGAGAATTACCGAATTTATACGATGTCAAGAAAAGGGTCCAATATGCGTGTTTGAGGATGTTATTTAATCGATTTTTTTTCAAATAGATTAAAATAAAAAAAAAAAAGAAATAAATTTAATAAAAATAAAGTACAACTTCTTACGCGCGTACATAAGTACACGCACCCTTTTTTTTATACAACGCACCGCTTTTTTTATCAATGCATGCAGTTGGTGCCTGTAATTGTGTTAGCATTTAGTGTGAAATCAATGTATATGATACCTTTAATGTTCTGTGCTGATGTATAACAGGTTGGTACCCAATAAATAAATTAAAACTAGAGGTCCCGCAGTAGTCGAAATTCGACTATAATTAATTGGAATTGTTTATTAAGTTTGTACACTATTATGATTGTGTTTTATACTTCTATAATCACAAATTTTGCCAAGGCTACACTATAAAAAAATATTAATAAAGACAAACAATATCTAATCTATTCTCAATTTGACAACAGACGTCAAGAACAAAAGTTTGACAATAAATAAATAGTAAGCATGCGTGTGTGCGTCAAATACATGGTATGTAGGGTGTGTAATGTTTTCTTTATTGATTTAATGTATCTTTTATGCATTATTTTAAAAATATATTAGCATTGTGCACTTCTTCTCTATATTCTCTAAGTGTGGAAAATTTCATACTCCTCCGTCCGCGCAATTTTTGTAAAAAGGGATACAAAGTTTTAGCTTCACGTATTAATATATAGATAAAAAATAAACAGTTTAAAATACATACGTTTAGCCAAGAATTCCTTTACATAATCTATGGGTATGGCAAACGATATTCCGTAGGTGACTTTCATGCTGTTAATGCCTATAGCTTCGCCGTCGAGATTGACAAGAGGTCCCCCGCTGTTACCGAATGTAATCGGAGCATCCGTTTGTATGTAGACTATATTTCTGTCTGAAAAACGAAAGAAATACTGGTGGTAGGGCGGGCGTTTGGTGTGCCACAACCACCATGGTACCACAACCCTGTCTATTTCTGTCGTGAAGCAGTAATGCGTTTCAGTTCGATGGGTGGGCCAGCTGTTGTTCAGTAAAACCGAGATGTAGACCTAATGTCTCAAGGTGGGTAGCGGCGTTTTTCATGTCCATAGGGTGGGCCAGCTTGAGCGAATAAATTGCTAGTGCTTAAAAATTATAACAACATATCACTCAACATTTGTTTTGTTTTAGTTTATGAACTGTAGCTGGGAATTCGTATATGGACCACCTGATGGCCAGTGGTCACCATTGCGTAGAAATGGCAATAATTCCAAGAGCAATTCAGCCAGCTGCCGATTCTTGTTACGTAATCTCCATAAACCTCTTTTGCAGAATAACAAATTAGAGTGCATGTCGTCATTTTCGACGTAACATTAACATCTATCTATATAATCTATATATATCCGTATATATAAAAATGAATTGCTGTTCGTTAGTCTCGCTAAAACTAGAGAACGGCTGGACCGATTTGGCTAATTTTGGTCTTGAATTATTTGTCGAAGTTCAGAGAAGGTTTAAAAGTTAGACAAATATGAAAATGCTCGGAATTACATAAAAATAACAAATTTGTTTTTCTTTTGATGTGTCCCCTGTCGGACGGATTCCTTTAGTTTTTTTCAAACTTATTTTATACAAAAGTTTAGGTCTTTTATTTATCGATTGAGGCACTACGAAGTCTGCCAGGTCAGCTAGTTATAATATATTAAACACATAGTTTCATAACCAGTTAACATCCAGATAAGCAGTGTTGTTACACCGTCTGGATATAAAATACTAAATAAACTTGAAAAAGAAATGTGCAGCACTCTGACCTTGTAAGCCAAGTTCGCTTCCAGCTCTCTGAGTAGAGCTCACTACACCAGCTGTGACTGTGTTGCTCAAATCAAGGGGACTTCCTATAGCCACCACCTATAATAATTATAAGTTGTAGTTATTTGGTTTTATCTTGGTTTGGTTTGGATTTATCACCATTACATTATAATAATATATCCCCCGTTTCAAACAGTTAACAGATTTCGTGGTCATGACACTTGTGCTAATTAAATTAAATTTAATGAAATATTGTGCGAGTTTAGTAAGAGAATAACAACCTTTGTGACTGTTGAAAATAATAAAATAACATAAAAATAGCGAGCTTAAACGGTAATGGTATTTTCAATCATGTCTATGACTTGTGAAATCTGAAGAAAATCATGTCGGCTTAGAATTGTACCACTCATCTGTTCCCTTTCCTTGGGTTTAATGAAAGATGTTCTGTGATAATTATACCTACATATTGAGATTGCTCTTTTGACAGGACACTGAAGCTATTTTCCAAAGCTTGATTAGCTCTTGTAGTAACCATGGGATTTTACTCACAGAATACAGTTGCATTTGGATGCATCAACCTTCCAATATAGTAAAATTTTGATTTTGATTTCTTTTATTTCCCATGTCCAACCAGAAGGCACAAATATGAGGGCATCGGAGAGGATAAATATCAAGACTATCTCACTGCCCACCTGGTTACTATTTTTTTTTTTTTTTTTTTTTATTACTTTGATGTGTGGACGAGCTCACAGCCCACCTGGTGTTAAGTGGTTACTGGAGCCCATAGACATCTACAACGTAAATGCGCCACACACCTTGAGATATAGTTCTAAGGTCTCAGTATAGTCACAACGGCTGCCCCACCCTTCAAACCGAAACGCATTACTGCTTCACGGCAGAAATAGGCGGGGCGGTGGTACCTACCCGTGCGGACTCACAAGAGGTCCTACCACCAGTAATTACGCAAATTATAATTTTGCGGGTTTGATTTTTATTGCACGATGTTATTCCTTCACCGTGGAAGTCAATCGTGAACATTTGTTGAGTACGTATTTCATTAGAAAAATTGGTACCCGCCAGCGAGATTCGAACACCAGTGCATCGCTCGATACGAATGCACCGGACGTCTTATCTTTTAGGCCACGACGACTTACTAGAGCCCACAGAGTGATTATGTAAGTTTCTCTTATATTGTATAACGTATAACCCTTATGCCAACTTTCAAATTGGTGGATGTAACATCTAAGACAGAAACAGGCAGCATACGCGATAGTTGTACCTACTAATAATACAGCATTATAAAACACCTTGCCATAACTAATTACACAATTTAAAAAAAAAGTGCATTCCATCACACTACTGTGACTGATCACGATAACCCACATGTTGCTGGTGCTATGACAGATACCTTCCCTTGAATGCAAAACTTGTACCAAATTTGATCACCATCAGATGAATGGTACAACAATACATAAAGGAAAAACGTACGTAGAAACATTCACTGTTATTTAAATAGTTTGTATGTTTCATATATATTTTTTCTTGTGCGTGTGTTTTTCACTGAACTCCTCCTAAACAGCTGGACCAATTTGAATGTTTTTTTTTGCGTTTGGGTGGCACCCTAGGTGGTTTAGATTCACAAATCAGCCTGGCAGAGTGCTGCAGTCGGTATCTAGGTTACTTTCCTAGACACAATTTATATGGCAAAACGTTTGCCAGGTCGCCTAGTGTATATATAAGATTGTTACTTCATTCTGAATGAAAATAGTATGTTAATAGTATTAGTATGAGATTTTGAAACTGCTTGACATAGTTTAACTTTTCTATTTAGAATATTGTTTTTAGTTAATTATTATAATATAAATTACAAACCCACTCGCCAGGCTTGAGATCAGCGGAAGTACCAAGTTTCATTGTTGGTAGCCCTTTAACTGGTATCCGAAGTGTTGCTAGATCTGATTGTAGGTCATAGTGTTCTATGAGGGCCTCGTGTGTTGAACCATCCTGGAATTTACCAGTAAACAAATATAATAGTAACAGATACACAAACAATTTGTTTTTATTTACATAACACAAGACCCTACAAAGCATTTCCTACCTTACCCAAGTAAGGGTTCATCAAACAAATGGCGATTTTATCATCTTTTTAATTTCTGTGCATTTGTAAAGGAGCTAGTTTACTGAAACACTTAATATTAGATATTAAATGGTTACTGGAGCAAATCAACATCAACGTTTATTAAACAGTCTGTCTCAATTACACATTGAGTAACTGACTTTTTTACAGATTTTTTTTTTAAATTACATAATATAGTTCGTCATACGCCATCATAAAGCCAAGTAATCAGAGCCTTGGCGGTGTTTCTGCCATTGCTGACATCCCTGAGCAACATTGACCACAGACCATCACATAGGTTGCATGGTCTGCCTACAAACAAAATAAAATGGATAAGGTTCTCGGGTACCATTAATGACCGTCTAGTTCCTTCTTATTCATTTATTATGGTTACATATAGCAACGGAAATTGTTTATTGAATTGAAGATGTCACAACAAATACTTACAGTTAATCTAACTTTGACGATTGCATTAGGCTTATTGACTACAACATGAGCGTTAGTTAATATCAGCCCGTCTTCCTTAATGATGAATCCCGAGCCATTGGATATCTTTAATTTTTTACCGGTAAACGCATCTATTCTTCGTCCGTCTACTATTTCTATATACACAACAGACGCCGCCGAAACTGCCACAACGTCAGCAATAAAATTATATTTCTCCCTTCGTCCTTTCAAATCATTTACAACTGTAGCAGCTGTTACTTTTTCACGTAAACTAAAATAACCTATAAACCCTATAGTGGCTCCTAAAATGCAGCTAAAGTAAGAGCTTTGATTGACATCACTGTTATTTTTGTAGTTATTAAGTATTGGCACAACACGACTAGTACATCTGTAGTTTATTTTGGATATAGTATTTGTTTTAAAAATACGGAAAAGTCTTAAATTCATTGTTGATTGTTTTTGCTTTCCGCACTTGACAATCTTGACATTTCGTCTGTCTTTGACAAGCGACAGCTGCAGCAGTGCATTGACAGCTAAAGAGTAGTACTGCTCAACTTATAACGTTAAAATTTTCGTGGTTATTTTTAGCGCTTAACATTTTCCATATAAGCGTTACTACTTTTATCTAGAAATATACTGCTAAGCAGTTTAGGTTCGTTAAGAATTAAGTCAACCGATATTTAAGTTCTTGGTTTCAATTTTAGCCCTGCTATGCCTGTAATTACTCTTCCAAGAGACACATTAAAATGACCGGGTATTATGTACCCTTTTTTTTTTTCGGGTATTGGGCCGAACCTCCTACGAGGTCCCCGCGCAAAAGAGGCGCGCGAGGTATGTGAGACTCAACGGTCTGGATGGTGTTGTGACCAAACCGCGGGCCCACCCACTAAACGACTCCCCTGCACTCTTACACCCGACGTCCGATCCCCTCCGAGGTCAGAACCCGGATGAGGTAGGGGGTGATACCGGTACGGCAGCCCGTCAGGCCGCCCAGACGGTGCCGCTGGTGTCCCGGAATACCCCGCTGGACCAGAACCAGCCTGCCGGGTCGGGACACGATACACCGTCGACCGGTCGCTCTATTACTCCACGGCAGCGCGCTAGAGTGCTGGTAGCGCGCCACGCGGCCTCTGCCCCCTCAGGTCACCCCTTGACCTTGGTATTACCCTACCATTCCTTAGTAGTAGGTTTGTGTGCCTTTGGTGTTGGCGATGTCCATGAGTTATAAAAATATCCACCTAAATTTAGGTAGACTAGAAGGTCGTACGTCATCAATAATAAATATATTATAATTAAAAGTATTACCAGGTCCGAAAATTTCTCAACTTTCGTATTGTTTCTAGACCGGTATTTGAATCTTTAGATCATCGGAGATGCTTAGGAAACAGATATTCATTTTTCTTTTAGTCTTAGCGAATCTTAGACTTAATTAACTACGAAAAATGTAAATTATTCAAAGCGTTGGAAATAGTAAAATTAAAAAATCAATGTCTTAGCGATCCACGGATTTACCGTGCAAGTGCCGGCCGGGTCCATCGTGTTGCTAAGAGAGGTGAAGAATACCAGTAGACTTACGACCCTAGTGTAGATTTAACGGGCTAACGCGCATTACGCTGCCTAGCCGGATTTGATTAGAACCTACTAGTGCAGCTTTAGACATTCTTTCAAGTGTAGAAATTACGGAAGTTCTTGACAAGGTCTTTTTTTTAGTGGGTTGGTGGGCTTTAGTGGGGTGGGGTACACCTGTCACTCGCACTTCGACAGCATATAAACTAGCCGTATACATTATTGGTTGGCCCGTTCATAAGATTGCGATCTTGTATTTACAACTTTATCTTGTTTAGTCTATACCTACGTATATTTGTTTCTCACGGTACAGTAAGCTTATTATTAATTAAATTAAATTATTAATTAAACGAGAAATTAAACAGTAATAATTTTTATTTCATTATTTACAAATTACGTTTTGGATATTATATTAAATAAGGATAAATAAGACACCATAGTAAAACCTTAAGATTTTTGTATAGACAAATTTATTTTCAATTACAGATAATAAATTTAACATTTAAAATGTTTTTGTATTATAATAGATCTTATCATTTATGTAATCAGGAACTATTCTAAACTCTTATTCACAATATTATATTAAAGATTATCCTAAGGTCAGCCCCTAAATGTATTTTTGTTCGTAAAATTACAATTGACACGCTCACTATCTACCTGGTGTTAAATGGTAACTGGAGGAGCACATCACAATCGGGGTACCTTGTGACGAGAACCACAATTATAATATTTCCATATAGCCTTACTATAGACAATTAAAATTTTATTAATGTATATGCATAATGATTACAGTACCTGCCGATAAATATTGCACATTGACCTTTGGAAAAGACAGTCAGCTAATTTCGGCGTCATCACTGTCGCACGAAACACTAACAATGCGGTATCAGTTAGCACCACACACTACGCTCTTTAACACCGACTGACAACGTCATAGGTCACATGTTCACGTTAGATGTGACTAAAAAACAATTGTCCGGAACTTGTTTCTAAGCAATTTCAATTGTAGACCATCCTTACATATGAAACTGATCTTTGCTTAACAGGAAACATATGCCTTAATAATATTTATTACAAAAACTTCTCAGATCTGTCATCCACAATTAATTAGATCAATAAAATAACTCACAATCGTTTTCTCATTATTTCCTAAATACCACACTTATTGTTCACTATATCGAATGAAATAGTTTCTATCGGTTTGAATGGCTTAAAATGGAGCTAAATTAAAATATTTTGGCACGTTTTTTTTTTGTGACATACCCAAGCATATTTTCTTTATAAACTATATAGATACATTTCTTTAATTTTTTCTTAGTAACAATAGGTTTGAAAAAAAAAAATTATGACTGAATCTTATTTCGAATGCTCAAAAGTTTGCACCATTACAAAACTACATCTAGGCCGCGAAAACCTCAACAAGCTTCATAGACACTAAATTGGTTGGTCCCAGTAATGAAGTCCTTATTAAATCATAACTAACGTACTGTATAAAACAGATTCAAATAAGCTAACTCGCCACAATATGTTACTTTCGTATTTTCTTTAGCTTAGGCTTGTACACACGAATCCTTCGCCTATGACATTAGTTAGCTGTGATAAGTGTCAATAAACTTGTCGCGAACATACAACATAAGGTTTCTCTATAAATAATTAATTAGATTACCGCCCTTTGATACCACATAAATTACGTAGAAAATCTTGTTTCATTTTCAAAAGTACCTCCTACCTATTCGGTCATGATGTACGCACACGCTCATTACTATTTACAAGGACGTTTTTAAAAACATAGGCTAAAAGTTTTGAATTGAATTCCACAATTCTGCTATTACAGTCGTGCGTGGGGGAGGCTTATGTTCAACAAAGGACGTCTGTAGGCCGAAAGATACGTACGAAAGTCATACGCCATGTTTGGACTTTTCCAATAATAGAGAGGTTAGATTTCGAGTGATACAAAAAAACATTCGCGGACGGGTACTAAACATAGGCCTAAAAGGTCCAGCCAACAACATCACCCGTCCTAGAGCTCATCTCGGCAGTCTGGGCTGGGTATGTGTGATTTTATCTGTTATTTGAATTTTAGGTGTACATAGGAAACCTAGATTACAGCCAAGTACCCTATCCTTCCCCGGCTAGGAATTTAATGTTTGGTTCAGACCCAATGCACCATTCAATTAACCGGCCAGACGCACGCTTCTATGCGGGAACAAAGCCCACACATTCACACATATAAATCATTTACTCATACGTAATATTAACTAGCTTATTTGTGTGCGAGCAACGCCGCAACGAAAATTTACAAGAGACTTAACGTTATACCGCAGTTTTCGACACCATTTAAATTCCCATTAACTTGACCGTTATGTTTGACCTTCGCATCACCGTTAACTGTATCCGGCCGGTACTTGTGGAATACTTGACAGAAGGCCTCGTCGTCTCTCGGTAGGTCGTAGTTTATTTTGTTAGCCGCCAACCAGGCCGCTCCCATTGCGCTCGATACTTTTAAGCGTACCAGTTCCAACTCGCACTTCACCTATAACGTAACGTGTAACGTTATTATTTTATAACGATCTGCTATTTATTTATAACGATAAGCTATTTATTCATAACGATAAGCTTTTTATTCATAGTGTCGCTGCTATTGATTTTCGTTTTCGTTAGACGAACATTTGAAGTCGTCGTGGCCTAAAGGATAAGACGTCCGGTGCATTCGTGTTGAGCGATGCACCGGTGTTCGAATCCCAGGCGGGTACCAATTTTTCTAATGAAATACGTACTCAAAAAATGTTCAGGATTGATTTCCACGGTGAAGGAATAACATCGTGTAATAAAAATCAAACCCGCAAAATTATAATATGCGTAATTACTGATGATAGGACCACTTGTGAATCCGCGCGGGTAGGTACCACCGCCCCGCCTATTTCTGCCGTAAAGTAGTAATGCGTTTCGGTTTGAAGGGTGAGGCAGCCGTTGTAACTATACTGAGACCTTAGAACTTATATCTCAAGGTGGGTGGCGCATTTACGTTGTACATGTCTATGGGCTCCAGTAACCACTTAACATCAGGTGGGCTGTGAGCTCGTCCACCCGTCTAAGCAATAAAAAATAAAAAAATCATTAAATTACCTTTTTAGCGTTAAGCTCATTTAGCATTCCCGGTTTCAACACGTCCCAGCTGTTCCACACCGAACCAACGCAGACGACTCTCAGTCTTTTGGCGGTGCTCCGTCTGGCCAGCGCAACGACGTGAGCCGCTAACGCACCGCCAGCTTCGGCGAAGATATGCCTCGATAGCTCGTCACCTTTGTATGCCAATGCCGATAGTTTTACCGTTAAACCTGGAGACGTCATCAAACAAAAGCACTGTAAACGCTAATATGCTGAAATTACGGGCTCAAGACTTATTAGTTAAGTATTAGTCTCAGATGAATTTGAATAACGGAAATAAGCAGAAGAGTGTTACAAGGGACCCAGTAGGTTGTCATGTTATAAACGTTTTAATTAAATAGCATGTTGGTATTAGCGTAATTTAATGATTTAAAATTTCGTTTCGAATTGTACAAAAGCTATTCTGTGACATCTTTTTTCTTCCTACCTGTTCTATTATTCTATATCTGTTATACTAGATTCACAAAACTAGTAGGTGAAATTACGGGACTCTAACCCGACGACGTTGCAAACACTAACCCTAGCAAGAGCAGTGCTTTGCAGAATCTATCATCGGATTGGAAACGCGACCCACTGAGAAGATCCAGCGACAAAGTCGGTGGGCTGTGTCTATGGATTAATTTACTTGCCGAGCCCTTCATCGCAAGCGACGGGTTCGACGAGGACGGTGATCAGTGCTCGAGGTATTCTATGACGCTATTCCAGTTATTCTACTAAGACCACTAAGACTTCAATCTTCATTCTTCAAAATGCCCGGCGTAATTCACTTCGTGTAACTATTAGCCCCGGTAACCACTAAAGGACAAGATGAGCCTTGATGGGCCAAGACTGGCCCAAAGTTGCCAAATCTGGTAATGCAAAAAAATAAGGAAAAATCTTTCACGTACCCGCAAATTGCGATTTATTAAAGTTCTTATAGGCGTGTGGAAGCAGATCCGCTCTCGTGTCAGCATCGAAATGTTCCCTGATCACTTCCCATACGTTGTGCGTTGGATATGGAGAGATACGGAGACCATCGACGTCATCTATCACCGATTTCACGGCTTTATGCGCTATCCAGTAAGCTGTGAAAAGGAATTGTAGGATTTGAACCATAAGTCACAACACTATAAGTCCACTATTTTCACTTTTCACTGTACAATTGTGGCCGCTCAACACTAAGTGTATCCTAGAGCACATTCGCCCGTCCATGATAAAACAAAAGAAGGTCAGGCTGACAGTACGGGCGAGGGTTGTAATAGTAATCTTTGTTGTGCCGATAAGACAACAGACCAACATTGGGCACTCGTCAATCATCCTCAATGTAAGTCAAGGATTCATCGTATTTAATTAAGTTTGTCCAATATTGGATAAATATTGGACCTGTACGCTGTACTAAGCTTCTGAGAGCGTCTTACGATTTCGCCTAGATGTGTTTCGCATTACAAAAGAACTGCTTTTTGTGTTTTTAGTTGTACTGTTTTTAGTATATTTATATTATAATCTCGCTTTTTTATATAACACTAGCTGACCCGGCAAACGGTGTTTTGCTATATATCAGATTTCTAGGGAATTTCTAGTGTAGAAAAAATAGCTAATTTATTGTAAGTGTGTAAGGATGTTGTAAATGAGTGAAAGAGGCATGTAGCGCTGTGAACGATGAGGAATATAAAAATAACAAAACCTTATTCAACCACATAATGCCACATTATAACAAAAATAATGTCCAAAAAATAAAAAAATAATGTGGACAAATGCAATATAAATAATAGCCGATTCTCAGACCTACTGAACATAACAAATTTCATAAAAATCGGTCAAACCGTTTCAGAGGAGTATGGTAACTAACATACCACGTACCACGTAACGTAACACGAGAATTTTATATATAAGATTTAAATTATTCTCGTTCTGTATGCTTACATTTAAATAAGCATGTGTTTTCTAATAAGCAACTGATAAATAACGCAATATTGAAAATTACTTGTTAGGTTACCGGTAAAGCTTTTGGGACAAAACTAAAAACACCTTTTAAGGGTTGTAGTAAAAAATAACGACAGAATAGACTCTAAAAAAGCGTGCCAACGAATAGCTTACCTCCACCTTCGTCGCCGAGTAAATGACCCCAGCCACCGCAGTTGTGTTGTTCTCCATCCGACGTACGTAATAGTGCATTCGAACCGGTACCTGAAGGAGAAACCATTGAAAACGGTTACAAAGAATATTTATTAAATTATAAAAAACAATTAGATACACAATCACAATTTTTTGGTAATTTTTTATCGAAAATTTCATAAATTCTGACGACCCTAATATGTTTTGAAGTCAAGCTTAAAGACCATTCACAATGTATACGGAAATATATCGGTAAAGGCTGTGTGTCATCTATGGTGTCTCACTCTAGATTTTGCCCTCAAATCTTGTCATACGTAACGAAGTGGCGTTCAGCTGAGTTTTTTTTAAAGCGTACGGAGCAATGCTGAAAAAAGTCTAGGTCATCACTAGGTCTTTAAAAGTGGCCATTAGCTACGAAACATACACTTGAAGCTTGGGCCATTTTACACAACTATCCAAAAAAATAAGTGTTATATTTTTAGGTTCACTTTGGGAGTTTACTCCACCATAAAAGTGAACAGGTTATGAGATACCATTAGAATCCTTACATCATTCCAAATGACATTAGGTATAATACAACATTCTAGTCCTGTTTTTTTTACCATTCACAAAGTTCAGCATGGGGTTTAGGTACATTCAATTAGTACGAAGTTCTGTGAGATTAATTTTTTTTTTTTTTAATTGCCTTTTTAATGCAGACGAGCATACGGCCCACCTGATGGTGAGTGGTTACCGTCGCCCATGGACTTCAGCAATGCCAAGGGCAGAGCCAAGCCGCTGCCTACCGCTTAATACTCTCCACAAGCCTCGTTTGAAGAAGGACATGTCATAGCGCTCGGGAAACACCGTGGAGGGGAGCTCATTCCATAGCCGGATGGTACGTGGCAAAAAAGATCTCTGGAAACGCACTGTGGATGACCGCAGTGGCTCCAGGTAGTATGAAATATCTAAATAGAAAATAGAAATATCTAATATAGGAACTATTTTGTGATTGTCCCATCAAATACCGAGAAAATCCTTCACAGAGCGAGGGTTTTGCGTTGACGATACGTCGTGTTTCGGATCTAGCATTACATATGCTAGATGATACCTTACAATCATTATGGACTCTTTTCCTCCTACCCATTCGCTGTTAGCCTAAGGGGCTAATTTAGCTAGGCCCGGACGTGTATTATGGACACAGACAACAGACAAGCTTAATACCCGCATCTCAAATAATATACGTCACGGGGACCAATAGAATCAAGATCTAACAGAAGTTCCTCGTCACGGCAAATATCTTAATATCACAATTGTTTTGGGACGGGAAAGTCCCGTTGGTTTAAAGCTCTTTACAAATATTCTGTTACAATCGTTGTATGTGAATCATAGGAAAACCACAACACTGTACACAGCTTAGTGCGTGCGGATAGTACCTATTTTGTGAAAGTACCGAGTGCAATGAACTCACTTTGTTCGATTCAAACGCTGCATGCAAGACCTCTCTAATGTCTTCTAAGTTCTATGTAAAAAACAACGATATTCTAAAATGATATTACTTCAAATATATGAAGTAGGAGTGTTAAGGCGCTTCGAGATTTGATATAAGGTTTTTTTTTCACCTGGTTTTAAATGGTCACCGGAGAAACTTATGGTTTATTTATATCTCAAGTGCTTAATAAACACGCATGTTACAAATTTTGCGGGTTTGGATTTTATTACACAACGGTATCCCATCATCTTGGAAGTCATCCGTGAGTATTTGTTAAGTACATATTACATTAGAAAAATTAGCATCTGTCCGCGGAATTTAAACACCGGCATAGTGGAATCGCTCAATAAAAAAGCACCGGGCATCTTATTCTTTAGGCTTTTTTATTGCTTAGATTAGTGGACTATTTCGCGGCCCAATTGGTGTTAAATGATTACCGGAGCCCATAGATATCTACAACGTAAATGTCGCCACCTATCTTGATATATGCGTTCTAAGGTCTCACTTTTAACAGTACAAAGGCTGCTCCGCCCTTCAAACCGAAACGCATTACTACTTCACGGCAAAAATATAGGCACGATGATGGTACCTATCCGTGCGGACTGTCAAAACATCCTACCACCAGTAAAACCGACGACTCCATCGATATACGGAACATAAACATGTAACCTTACTCATTATAAATACATTCGTACATATTTCTCATTGTAATGCTTCACTCTCCCCCCCTTGCCTTTTCATGAGTTCTGTCTCATGCGAGGCTCGGACGTGGGTTGTTGAGCGACAGGAGGCTTTAGTCGGTTCGACTCCGACATACCCCGCCCTCCATCCCCAGTGGAGGGCGGAAGTCCGGCGATTTCCTCCTGACCAAATAAAAAAAGGCTTACAAAGCTCCAATAACTCATTAATAAAACCATAGCTGTAATATTCCATAGATTGACAGTCGAAATTGTTTTTTTTTATTGCTTGGATGGTTGGACGAGCTCACACCTGGGGTTAAATGGTTACTAGAGCCCATAGACATCTACAACGTAAATGCGCCACCTACATAGAGATATAAGTTGTAAGATCTCAGTATAGTTACAACGGCTGCCCCACCCTTCAAACCGAAATGCATTACTGCTTCACGGCAGAAATAGGCAGGGCGGTGGTATCCACCCGCGCGGACCCACAAGAGGTCCTACCACCAGTGATTACGCAAATTATAATTTTGCGGGTTTCATTTTTATTACACGACTAGCGACCCGCCCTCGCTTCGCTTCGGAAACATTAAAACACACATGAAACCAAAAAAAATAATTAAAAAAATTAAAAAAAAAGTAGCCTATGTTCATCAGGGACAATGTCGGCTTATAATGGAAAAAGAATTTTTCGAATCGGTCCAGTAGTTTCGGAGCCTATTCGAAACAAACAAACAAACAAATCTTTCCTCTTTATAATATTATTAGTATAGATGTTATTCCTTCATCGTGGAAGTCAATCGTGAACATTTGTTGAGTACGTATTTCATTAGAAAAATTGGTACCCGCCTGAGATTTGAACACCGGTGCATCGCTCAACACGAATGCACCGGACGACTTATCCTTTAGGCTACGACGATTTTTCCGTTAAAGTACCTGCTAAAGTTTTTATTCACGCATATTACTTAACTGATTAACGTGACTTCACACATGCATTCCTACACACAAAGTTCGCCTTGCAAAACAATCCAGACGTTTATATAAATAAAAAAAAACCAGTATTCGTCCATAATCATATAAAAAGGTGTGTTTCTTTCGTTCGGTAATACGCAAGTTTAACAGCAATGCCGTTTGTCCGTGAAATAAACTGGAAGTAAAACTGGATTAATAACAAATAAAGCGAGCTCATTGTTTATCGTGATATTTTTACTTAAGCGATTTTTTTTTTTTTTAATAGCAATCCCCATCACTAGTGCCAGTAACGTGCATCACTACGTTCGTAAGGTAAGACTGCGATTGGTGGTTGTGGATTTACTAGTGGTAGGACCTCTTGTGAGTCCGCGCGGGTAGGTACCACTACCCCGCCTATTTCTGCCGTGAAGAAGTAATGCGTTTCGGTTTGAAGGGTGGGGCAGCCGTTGTAACTATACTGATATATCTATGGGCTCCAATAACCACTTAACACCAGGTGGGCTGTGAGCTCGTTCAACCATCTAAGCAATAAAATACATAGACATAGACATCTACAACGTAAATGCGCCACCCCCCTTGAGATATAAGTTCTAAGGTCTCAAGTATAGTTACAACGGCTGCCCCGCCCTTCAAACCGAAACGCGTTACTGCGTCACGGCAGAAACGGGCAGGGCGGTGGTACCTACCCGCGCGAACTCACAAGAGATCCTACCACCAGTGAAAAACGTCACGTCAAACCATAAAAACTCGTCTTAACAAAACCCTAATACAATAAACGCCGAGCGTGTTTTATTGAATCACTTGTTTTTTCCAGCAATAAAGCCGTCGCTCGATAGGTTATCGGAACATAAATATGAACTAATGCTCTCATTTCTTGACACGACGACGCGGCGATGTAGAGCTTTCTTTACACTGCGTTGTTTGCATGATTAAACAAAATTAAACTACAATTAATAGCACATCTATATATATAAAAATGAAACCCGTTTTCCGTTGTCACGACATAACATGAAAACGGCTTGACCGATTTGGCTAATTTTGGTCTTCAATTATTTGTGGAAGTCCAGAGAAGGTTTAAAAGGTATAAAAATATGAAAATTCTCGGAATTAAATAAAAATAACAATTTTGTTTTCCCTTTGACGTGTCCCCCGTCGGACGGATTCCTTTTGTTTGTCTTAAGTTTATTCTATATAAAAGCTTAGGTATTTTATTTATCGATTGAGGCACTACGAAGTCTGCCGGGTCAGCTAGTTGTTTATACAAAAATAGTAAGTAGAAGGAAAGAGACCCCGCGGCCGATTACCTAGCCGTTGGTGTGATCAAGTAACCGCTCTAACTGGGTTGCCAGTCGCAACCGCCATTCGAGAAGCTGAGGACCGGACGAGATGGAAACAGCTCACGAGACAGGCAACGGTCAAGTTTCAGGGACACGACCTTCAGCAATGAAGAAAGCGACGAAGAAGATACAAAAATACTCTCGCTTATCGATTGAAACTCGATCGTAATCACTGACACTTTTTTTTTTTCTTTTTTTTTCCTACCTAAGCTGATTGCCTTGAGAGGCTATTCCAGCGTAACCTTAACTAGTAGGTGAGCTCACGGGGCTCAAACCTGACGACGTTGCTAACACGAACCCTATCAAGAGCCGTGCTTCGCAGAATCTACCACCGGATCGGAAACGCGACCCACTGAAAAGATCCGGCGAGAAACTCAGTGGGCTGTGTCTGAGGGTTAATTTACTAGTCGAGTCCATCGTCACAAGCGACGGGTTCGACGAGAACGGTGACCGGTGCTTGAAGTACCTAAAAGCAGCGTTAGTGGATCGAGAGGATCCGAAATGACGTGTTGACACGTAAAGTATTGATTGCATTAATTACATTTCCTCTTTAGTTATTGACTTTTGAAAAGTCATCAATAGCTCAATAGATTACTTGAGAAACAATGGTGCAATAAGTACTTACTTAACGCTTTTTTTGATTTTATACATCTATAAAATGGGTATATACCAGGCGCCTGACTGTTTCTATCGCGAAGCAAAAATGCATTCTGGTTTGAAGGATGGGGGCAGCTCTTACACTATATACGGTGTGACGGTCGGCAGCGGCTTGGCTCTGCCCTTGGCATTGCTGATGTCCACGGGCGACAGTAACGACTCACCATCAGATGGTCCGTATGCTCGTCTGCCTACAAGGGCAATAAAAAAAGTCTATATAACTCAGATTTAGACCTCATGATACATGACCCCATGTTCCGGTCTATAGGCTCTGGCATCAGCATCAGGCCACTTTCTTTATTTTCTTTTTTTTTTCTACCTAAGCTGAGAGCCATGAGAGGCTATATCAGCGTAACCTTAACTAGTAGGTGAGCTCACGGGGCTCAAACACGACGACGTTGGTAACACGAACCCTATCAAGAGTCGTGCTTCGCAGAATCTACCACCGGATCGGAAACGCGACCCACTGAGAAGATCCGGCGAGAAACTCAGTGGGCTGTGTCTGACGGTTAATTTACTCGTAGAGCCCTTCGTCGCAAGCGACGGGATCGACGAGAACGGTGACCGGTGCTTGAAGTACCTAAAAGCACCGTTAGTGGATCGAGAGGATCCGAAATGACGCCACGTTAACTGGTCCCATGATAAGTTCGTAAAGAACTTGTGTTACAGGTACCAGATAACGGAAATAAATGTAAGATTTTTATTATACACATACATAAATTTAATATACATCCATAACCCTAGAAAAGACATTTACATTTATTATACAAATATCTTCCCTTGGCGGGATTCGAACCCGCGACCCTCTTGTATAGTGACCATGTCACTTACCACTACACCAGACGGTCGTCTACTCAGACTACTAATATAACTCAGACTTAGACCTCATGACACGATGAGCCCATGTTCCGGTCTATGGGATCTGGCATCAGCATCAGGCCACGGTGACCGGTCTAAGCAATAAAAAAAAAACGTCTCCTTTTCGTTTATAATAAGCATAATTAATTCACTCAATAACTAAATTAACATTGCCGTTTCCAAATGTCATTCCAATTCATACAAGGTCGTTTTAATCTCAATCAAGTTTAATAGCTTTCCGCGTATTGATGCGAATAACAATTCAGTTCTCAACATAAATCTCGAGATTCATTTGACATCTTTTTATTGGGTATAATGCACAGGCGCGTTATGTGATAAGGTCATATCCATAGATATGATATCGTGAATTGAAATTTTTTTCAATTGTATTCATGCACCATTCTACAGTCTGGTTGGTGTGATAAAGAGTAGGCACCAACCTTTGAAGGATGGGATATTTTACACTATATTCTAAAAAGTCTACTTGGGCTTGAAGAAGAGTAGATATCAACCTTTGAAGGTTTGGAGAATGGGATATACTATATAATTATATACTTGAAACGGCCGATGGTATTCCTTCAATAACCAAAAAGCACGTGCTGCATCACGATCTTACTGGTGGTAGGACTTCTTGTGAGTCCGTACGGGTAGGTACCACCACCCTGCCAATTTCTATCGTGAAGCAGTAATGCGTTTCGGTTTGAAGGGTGGGGCAATCGTTGCAACTATACTTGAGACCTTAGAACTCATATCTCAAATGGGTGGCGCATTTACGTTGTAGATGTCGCAAAATTCGCAAAATAAAGAAGTTTAAGTTATTAATATACATTCGTAAGAACATAGACAGACTTAGTTTCTTGGATCCATTGAGTTGTTAGTAGCATCAATCTTCAAATTCTCTTGACCGAGTCTAAAGCACCGGGTCTATAGTTTAATAAACTTTTAAGGGTTCGATTCTTTGAGGATTTTCTACGAAGCCCTAAGCATTCCGTATGTTTTTTTAATTGCTTAGACGACTGAAGTAGCTCAAGGCTAACTTACAAAAATGAAGTCTGTGTTCTAGTTTTACAGTACAACGCCTGCCCCACCCTTCAAGCTGTAACGCATAATTCATTCACGGTGGAAATGAGGAGGTTTGTGGTACCTCCTACTGCGGGATCAGAGGACGCCCTGCCCACCAGCAATTACACAAATTATAATATTTACGGGTTTCGATTTTTTATTACACTATGTCGCATACCTTACATCGCGGAAGTCAGTAGTGAACATAAAATAAATAAATAAACAAAGCAAATATTAAATACAAAAACAAAGTACGATTGGCGGTCTTATCGCTAAAAGCGATCTCTTCCAGATAACTATCAAGTGGACAAGAATCGTTTGGAAACGAATTACAACGTGGTGTACATTGTCGATTGGCATATATCTATACTAATATTATCTATACTTCTATACTAATCTATATTATTAATTAATATAATATTATAAAGAGGAATGATTTGTTTGTATTAAATAGGCTCCGAAACTACTGAGCCGATTTGAAAAATTCTTTCATTGTTTGGAAGCTACACTATTCCCGAGTGACATAGGCTATAATCTTTTTTAAAAAAAATTAGGATCCTTACTAAAACTCTAATAATGTAACCCAAGGTGTAAAAATACCTAAAATATTCTTTACATCGCGTGCCCTGCGAAAACTTGATGTTAGAATAAAATAATGTTCTATGACTTTGTAGAACACATTATTATTTACAAAAAGTGTCGAGTTATGCCGCAATAAGTGTTCTTTTATTTTTAAAAATAAAACAACGTCAATTATCGTTGAAATTTTTGTTAAATACCCGACGGAGCCGGCCGCTAGTTTATATATACACACACATTATACACATATCTAAATAGATGAAATTTTTCATAGTACTTGTTTGCGGGATTCGAAGGCTTTAGGCCACGACTACTTTAAGACATTCAATTGATCACTCACCAGCAATAAGAACCATGCCTCCGTCCGGTGCTCCAGTGAACAGGGACCCGGCTGTGTCGGACGCCGCATACACCGCTTTTGCACACATCGGATCTAAATCTTTGACCCTGGCCACTAATTCGGCATTGCTGCTTTCTTGTTCGCAGCCTGATAACGTCAAACCCTGAAGAATAAAATGAATTTTACACGTTTAAGTAGAAAGGGAGCAATTTGTTTCGTTTTCTGGGTGTAACACGGTCATTACCTAATAGCTTTTGCTCGCGACTTCGTCCGCGTGGAATAGCTACCTTGGTATAACGCAAAATTTTACCCGCGACTTCATTTACGTAGAAGTAAGTATATTTTTGAATAATGCATATTAAGGAGCTATTTAAGGTACAAAAATCATGCTTTTTAGCCGACTTCAAAAGAGGAGGTTATTAGTGCTCCACTCGTATTGGTCTTAGCGTGATGTTATAAATAACTTATAGCCTTCCTTAATAAATGGGCTATCTGACACTGAAAGAATTTTTCAAATCGGACCAGTAGCTCCTGAGATTAGCGCATTCAAACAAACAAACTCTTCAGCTTTACAGTATTAGTATAGAATTGCCAAAAATATTTAATACATTGCCTGCCATGTAGGTCATCAGGGCCGTAGGGCTAGTAGGCCGTAATTACTCACGTAGGTGACGCACTGAAGTAATTATTAAGTCGTTTTCTGTTACTGAGCGCCTGGAATGCCCAACTCTTTACCTTCTTTTGTTTTTAATGTATGTTTTAGACTTTTAGGTCTCTTAGAAATATATCTCGAATTCGTCTTGCCTAGTCTTCTAGATATTCCGGCGTCTTAGTAAGAAGGTCGAAGACAGAAATCGACATAATTACTTCAGTGCGCCGCGTATATAATATATTATTTAGTTTAAACACAAAAACGCTAAAAATAGCAAATCGAATTAAAAATTAATTTAAGCTTTAGTACCCTATTGATATCAGTCAGGGTTAGAAGAGGAAAGTCACAAACATATTGTATTATAATCGGTCCGTGATGCGAGGGCAAATTTTCAAGTCATTTGAACTTTTTTTCAAATTATGTTCAAATTTCCATTATATACTATAGTTTTAAATTCAAGACTGTCGCTAGTTGAAAAACAGCTCTTGGCTCCCATAGTTTGTAAAGTTGATATTATTTTTATTATATCGAAGGGTGCAACATTACAGAAGTCAATAAAGCAGCCTATCCCAAAGTGGGCGATAACGCCCCCTTGTAAACGCTGCATGCCTAAAGGGGGCGGTAAGAGACCCAGAAAAAAATTGGGGAATTGCGTAGAGGCTTGGGAGGCGATTTGTAATTTCAACTAGGAGGACTCTTAGACACCGACTCTGCAGCTCTCGCTATAGTGATTTTTTAAGTAGGTGAAAAAAGGGGGGCGCTAAAAAGTAATTCATTCTCAAAGTGGGCAGCAGATAAAATAAGTTTGGGAACCCCTGATATAAAGTTTAAAATTTGGAAAAAAATATAACAAAAAAACATTTTCGGCTATTTGAAAAAAATATCTTAACAATAAAAAAGTTCCTCAGTTATTTCAATGGGGTAAACTTAATTGAAGTTCAATTAAAAAAATTGAACTGTTCATGCTAATCTATATATATAAAAATAAATTGCTGTTCGTTAGTCTCGCTAAAACTCGAGAACGGCTGGACCGATTTGGCCAATTTCGGTTTTGGATTATTTGTCGAAGTCCAGAGAAGGTTTAAGAGGTAGATAAATATGAAAATTCTCGGAATTAAATAAAGTTTAGGTCTTTTATTTATCGATTGAGGCACTACGAAGTCTGCCGGGTCAGCTAGTATCAAATAAAAAGTATCTTTAATTACAAAGATCGCTTAAACGAAATAGCCTTCCACCACCCCCCCCCCCAAATTTATGGATCGACAAATTCACATAAGATACATTAAAGTATGTACGAGTCCAAACTGAATAAATTGCGCAATTTGTGTTCGATTAGATACCTAAATTTTAAATTTGTCATTTTATAGTTATACTCCAGATATATGTTTTGGTACGTCTAAATCTAGGTCACACAGTTCACTTTTGAGCTTACCAAAGAATCTAGGGCTTGATCTTTGGGGATCCCTGCGTCTTCTTTGGCCTCGTGCAGCATGCTTATGATCCTATTGGCGCATCCGTCTATTCCAAGAGTCCAATGGTTCGTGCCGAGACCTTTAGCTCTCCCAACGACACGTCCAGCTTCGTCGCATATCACAAGGTTCGAGTGAGTTGCTCCTCTGTAGGAAGAATGTTTTATATATAAATAATATTATACAGCTGAAGGGTTTGTTTGTTTGAACGCGCTAATCTCAGGAAGTACTAGTCCGATTTGAAAAATTCTTTCAGTGTTGGCTAACTCATTTATTATATAGCATTACGGTAAGACCAATACAAGTGGAGCATCAATAAAGAATGTTTCAAAATAGGGGTTTAAATAGCTCCTTAATATTCTATAATTCAAAAATATCTTCACTTTCTACGTAGATGAAGTGGGGGTAAAATTTAGCATTATGCTAAAGTAACTACATATTCCAGGCGGACGGAGTCGCGGGCAAAGGCTAGTATAAAAATAACTAGCCAAAATTTTGAGGATTTTTGTGGAGTTCTACCTTGTTCTGATGGCAGTCAAAGTCTTTATCGTTCTGCCGTAAGAGCTGCCTAACGTAGTTCTATCTCACGAACTATATAGATTCATGAGCTTTTTGGTCACAGAAATTTAAGGACGTACCTCTGGTATTTTAAAAAATTCGTAGGATCTTTCAAGATCCTTCATAATGCCAAAAGGTTGAAAAAACTGGGGCCAAAAAGTTCTAGAGTGGAGATCGCGCACGGGAAAGCGCAGCGTAGGTAGGCATCCCACAAGGTGGATTGACGAGCGATTTAAGGGCGTGGGCATTCGCTGGACACGGGCTGCGCGGGTCCTTGTGGCGAACCTTGGTGGAAGCCTACATCCAGCAGATTTCAGCAGCGTAAGCCTGTGACCTGATGACGATGTTATTCATCACGAATGTCACTCGCGTATACGTTACGTACGTATCTACTATCAACCTATACTACATTACCTAAGCATTAGAATCTCCCAACGAATTCTCCTGGTAGGTTTATTGTTCAATGCACGAATAAGCACTAATATTCTTCTCATTCTATCGTAATGTTTTTGAGTCGTTATTTAGTACAATTGAAAGTTTGACCGTTTTAAGACTGTTTTTTTTTCCTATCTATGCTGTAGTAGTAGTAGTAGTAGTAGTAGTAGTAGTAGTAGTAGTAGTAGTAGGTGAGCTCACGGGGCTCAAACCTGGCGAATTTGCTACCACTGACCCTAGCAAGAGCAGTGCTTCGCAGAATCTACCACCGGATCGGAAACGCGACCCACTGAGAAGATCCGGCGAGAAACTCAGTGGGATGTGTCTGTGGATTAGTTTACTCGCCGAGCCCTTCGTCGCAAGGGACGGGTTCGACGAGAACGATGACCGGAAGACGGGTACTTTTACATCGTAATATCAGTAACCAAGTGACCCGTGCTTCTCCCTCAGTCGTCCAATAATATAAAAAATAAGGAAACGATTTTGAGCCCCGCGTAATCTGTTGTATAGTCATCTATCTATACTTAAATAAAAGTGCGTGTAATCGTGGTATACGTCTGGTCATGTACAAGTATCAGATAAGTAATGTTCTATTATATTAAACAGGCAATAAAGTGTAATCTGTGTTCGTTATCTGAACAGTAAACACCTGTACAGTACCTGATTGAACGTTCTGTGTTGGAATATTTTTTTTTTCATACTACCTCAGTACCTAAGAAATAAAAAATGGACCATGGAAACGAAATGTAACAATCTTACGTTCTGATTCGAAAAGTGAAATAGCTGTTAGTGAATTTGAGAATGATTTATTTAATAGCTTAGTTCTTTTTTCAATGTATATTAATATAGGAACAAAATGTATGGATGAATGACAGATATAGAGCATGACTGAGTGAGAGAGATAGGAGATGTTGATTTCGAAGGTAAGAGAGACAGCGAACGAATGTTTGACATATAGTTTTCTTTTAAACGAGAGGAGGAATGAGGGTAGTTACTGAACGCAACGGTAACCAGACGTAACTCGGAAGACGTATATTTAATTTACTTTATCAAAATCAAGTTTATGTGAAGCAATCAACTGTTTTATTAAACCAAACGGAATAGAGGACATCTATTTAGATTTCGATATGACTAATGATGAATGCACCTAATCTCCACCGGTCACTGTTTTCGTCGAACCCTTCCCTTGTCACGAAGAGCTCGGCGATTAAATTAACCCTCAGACACAGCCCACTGAGTTTCTCGCCGGATCTTCTCAGTGGGTCGCGTTTCCCATCCGGTGGTAGATTCTGTGGAACACTGCTCTTGCTAGGATTAGTGTTAGAAAATCTATCAGGTTAAAGCCCCGTGAGCTCATCACCTACTCACTCAGTGAAGGAAACTCGCTCAGGAAAAATAAACCTAATCTCCGCACGAATAGGGTCCCAAATAGTTCCAATGCTCCAGAGACGTATTTAAAGGCGCTTGGCCATAAACTGCAGATAGTAAGACCTACATAGTACTTATCGTTTTAGTCGTTTATAACATTTCAGTGTTTTCCGCTAACACCACTGCAGATAAGCCATTTTATTGTTTTAATGTCTTTTGTCACGAATACGGTTACAAGGTTGCATTTCGCGTGCTAATATTCACGTTTACATTTTAAAACAAACTAGTGTTCCCCCAGTAGTCGAAATTAGTAATTGAAATTATAAGTTTGAACATTATTATGGTCATATTGTCAAAGACTATTCTATAATCACAGCTTTCGCCAAGACTACACTATCGACAAATAATAATTAAAGACAAACAATATTAATCTATTGTCAATTTGATTACAGACTTTAAGGAATAACGAAGGTTTGACAATAAACAAATATTTTGTATGCGTGTGTGTGTGTTTCAAATACATGGTAGTGTGTGTAATGCTTTCTTTATTAATTGAATGTATCTTTTATGCATTATTTTAAGAAAATATTATCATTGTGCACTCCTTCTCTATATTCTCTATAAGTGTGGAAAATTTCATACTCCTCCGTCCGCGGAATTTTCGTAAAAAGTGATACAAAGTCTTTGCTTCACGTATTAATATATAGATTTATAAGCGGATACATAAAAAGTTTTAACACAAAGTCAAACCGACAAACAATTAAAATGAGGTTGTTACCAATGTCGTAGGAATTAACTTCGTTTTTTTTTAATTGCATGAATGGGTGGACGAGCTCACAGGCCACCGGGTGTTAAGTGGTTATGGGAGCCCATGGACATCTATAACGTAAATGCCACCACCGACCTTGAGACATGAGTTCTAAGGTCTCACTATAGTTACAACCGCGACCGTACTATAAAACCGAGGTTTAGAATTGATGTTTCGAACTGGGTAGTTGCATTTACTTTATTGTTAATAATAATAATTGGACTCCGGTAACCACTTAACACCAGGTAGGTAACGAGCTCGTGCACCTATCTAACCAATACAAAAATTATGTATTTAGTTCTTTCGTATCTAAGTATTTAATTCAATTCGAAAATAAAAGAATGGCGCGTAAATGAGTAAACACGTGAGAATGTCAAATTCCAAAAACAAAATGTTTTTTTTTTTTAATAACAGCTTTTACGGCCAGACGGTGCATTACTCAACCACAGGCCCATTCATCTCAATAACTATAATACAACTAAAATTATCAAAAGCATATTAATTTTAAACAACAGATTTTTTTCTACCTACCTAATCGTGGGTAGCCTAAAGGGATATTCTAACTACGCGCGGACCAGATAATAGCTATCCGTTATTTGTCGATATTCTAATACGATTTCGTCAAAGGTCAAGTTCGCCTTATCGGTTCGATAACAATGTCGATAAGCCACAAACAATAACAACTCGCTTTGTGTTTGGTTTTATTTTCGGATTTCCTGGTAATCGACTTTTTTTTTATAATGTTAATTAAAGTGACCACAGAACTTCGCACAAACATCTCCATCCTTCAAGAACTTAGCATAAAGCAGCGACTTTTGGCGCTTGTGCATTTTTTTTTGGTCAGAGGGAAATCACCGGACTTCCGCCCTCCACTGGGGATGGAGGGCGGGGCATGTCAGAGTCGAACTGACTAAAACCTCCTGTCGCTCAACAACCAACATCCAAAACCTCGCATGAGACAGAACTCATGAAAAGGCAAAGGGGGGAAAGTGAAGCGTTTAGTGCAGAGCACATCTCTCTCATCACCCTCCCCCTCGGGACGCCAGACCGGCGGTCGTCGACGCCACCACCACCAGCCCTGTCGGTCGGCAGGCTATCCGAAGCCCGCCTAGATGGCGCCGGTTAGAGTGGCGCCTGTGCCCCATGCACATATTATCATTTTTGGGCATATCTCCAGACGAGAACATGCCTCCATAAAGCGCCTTGTCGTTCAGGGCAAAGCAGAAGGCACCACACTGCTGCTGTCGGAAGGCTGCCCATGCGATGGATTGACTAAGTCAAATCAGCATTGGCGGTTGTTTGCACGAGTGTACCAGGATCATCACAAGTCGGGAGAAATGGCGATTGCTCGTGAGACGCATAACATCTGCCCGCATCAATGATACTAAATGTCGACCACGACCGCTCTGACAAGAGTGATGCGACAAACAAACAATTTAAAGTAATCTTATCCTGAATCCTGATCGTACAGGAAGTTAGCTTAATGCTAATTGTCTTATAGAACGGTTTTCCCACCACTGAAATCGGCACGCATGACTGCTTAGCAACAGTAATGAGGAGAATCTCACTACCTAGCAATTCGAAATCACAATGAGTTCTACTTGAACTGAACCATCCACAATACGCAATTAAAAAAATTAAATTAAAATATCAATTCTTCATTGAACTGGTGATTTTTTAACTGGTAGAACCTCTTGTAAGTCCGCACGGGTGGATACCACCACCCTACTTATTTCTGCCGTGAAGCAGTAATGCGTTTCGGTTTGAAGGGTGTGGCAGCCGTTGTAACTATACTGAGACCTTAGAAATTATATCTCAAGGTGAGTGGCGCATTTACGTTGTAGATTTATATGGGCTTCAGTAACACACCAGGTAGGCTGTGAGGTCGTCCACCCGTCTAAGCAATAAAAATAAATAAAAATATTTAGCAGTTAATTTTATTTGCGTAAATGTTATTAAATATTATTATATTAATCGTTTATAAGCGATCGTTAGTCGCATAACAAAAGTCATAATGTAGGACAATCGGTTTGCATTACTGATTAAAGGTTATTTCCCTTGATTCCTATCACCCGCAGACTGATAGCTGGTGACATCAGCTGCCACTCTGTCGTTTTGATAATGAACATCCTTGAAAAAGTAAGAACATAATATATTTTGATATCGTTGCCACAAAAAAAAAAAGTTAATTTCCGTTTATTCTGGTCTGTTCTTAGTGTCAACATTATATAAATTAAATACGGCTTACACCTTAAGTGGGATGAAATTAATTGCACTTGCAGGGTTTTTTTTTTATTGTTTAGATTTGTGGATGAAAGGCGATTGCATGCAGCAGAGATGCGAATGTTGCGATGGATGTGTGAAGTAACGAGAATGGATAGAATACGGAATGAATATGTTAGAGGAAGTCTGAAAGTGGCACCTGTGACAGAGAAGCTGATGAGTGCACGTTTGGGATGGTATGGACATGTGATGAAACGAAATGAAAATGAGGTTGTTAAGAGAGTGTTAACTATGAATGTGGAAGGATTTAGAGGAAGAGGTAGACCTAAGAAGAAATGGATGGATTGTGTGAAAGACGATATGGGTAGGAGGGGAGTGAGCGAAGAAATGGTATATGATAGAAGAGTATGGAAGGAGAAAACATGTTGCGCCGACCCCAGGTGACCGGGAGAAGAGCAGGATAATGATGATGATTTGTGGACGAGCTCACAGCCCACCTGGTGTTAAGTGGTTACTGGAGCCCATAGACATCTACAACGTAAATGCGCCACACACCTTGAGATATAAGTTCTAAGGTCTCAAGTATAGTTACAACGGCTGCCCTACCCTTCAAACCGAAACGCATTACTGCTTCACGGCAGAAATAGGTGGGCGGTGGTACCTACCCGTGCGGACTCACTAGAGGTCTTACCACCAGTAATTACGCAAATTATAATTTTGCGGGTTTGGTTTTTATTGCACGATGTTATTCCTTCACCGTGGAAGTCAATCGTGAACATTTATTAAGTACGTATTTCATTAGAAAAATTGGTACCCGCCTGCGGGATTCGAACACCGTTGCATCGCTAGGTACGAATGCACCGAACGTCTTATCCTTTAGGCCACGACGACTTCAAAACACGTATACGAATTCCTAAGACGATATTAAAAATACGGGTCTTCATTTAAATTTTAAGTTAACCTTTACCTCTCTAGGTCTTCAAATCAGTATCTCTATAGATACTTCAAATGAGTATCTCTATAAATACTCATTTGAAGAATAAAATAATTAAAAAAGTCTATGCTTTTTTAATTATTTTTATACCCTAAAAACCTAAAAAAGATCCATAAACATGTCAAGATAACAGAATTATGTTAAGTCGTTTTTAAGCTGTTTAATTAAGTAATCTGATATCTGATTTTCAAAATAATAAAACTTGATTCAACGTGACTATATAGGCATCATTTTCTTCTTTTTTCTATATGCCAATTGGCTTCGGATGGCATAGGCGCCAGTATCGAGTCTATATCTTCGATTAACTATTAACTATTTTAAAAATTTGTAACATGAATCTAATGAAACAGACCGGATTTAATCAAAATATTAATCAAACAAAGTTTATTTCATTTTCCCACACTCGTGCAATTTTACAACGCTAAATTTATATCCTATTTATAACCCAACATTATTACACGAACTTGAAGAATCACAAAATTAATAATATAAAAAACAACATTCACCCGACTTATGTGTTCGCATTCCCGCCAAAAAGGCCTAAAGTATTCAAACCTATTCCATATACCTACCTACATACTTTTTTTTCGTAATATTTAATAACTTTGACACATTTGACAAAATAAAAATACTTTGTACCAAATCTCACTAAGCTTCAAATATATTTCTACTAGTTCATAAATCGTTCGAAATGTGGAACTTTTATTTACAAATTCATTACAAAAGCAATACCTAATTTCAAGGTCGACGCGATCGTGTCACATACCATGAATTCCAAACTTAATTCAATCAAAATTGCACTGTATGACTGCTTGTTAAAATACATTTTTGACTGTCCTTAAACTGTCGGTGTGGCGAGTCGAGCCGCTCGTATGAACCGCTCCGATTGGTTGAAAAGTCATTCCTGTTTTATAAACATATGGTTTGTTTTGTTTAGTTTCCCTAATACTAGATTACATGCGTATTTTCACTTATATTGTATAATATAATAATTTTAAATTACGTCTTGTGTATTATTAAAACTTGGGTTTTATATATAACATGGTTTAAATTAATACTAATTAAAATGAAATTTTATTCAAACGCCATTGACATTTTCGATACCCCGATCGACTGCTTGAGGATCTAGGGAAGGTAATTGAACCGCTTCAAAATCTAGGCTCAAGGCACGCCTTTCTATTTTCAACAATAGTGCGTTTTTAATAAAACTAAACTTACCCCTCTACTCCACCGAAAAACATTGTTGATAATTAGAAATAAACTTGACTAAGCCGAAAACAGGTTGTGATCTTAATTACAATAATTTATGTATTAATAATTTATAGTACTGAACTAGAAAAATGTTTACGGACGTTTTATTTCAAAAAACACTAACACTCTTCACAGCAGCGATCGCCAAACTGAATGAAAATTTAACGATGAACGATACGAAGTAATACGAACTAACCCGAACGGCGCGAACAACATCCGAACAGAAGTTCAATGACGTTTTCGATTGAATAGGGTTGAGATTGTTGAGAACGTAACATAGAAAATAGCAGTTAAAAGCAACAACGTTAAAACAATATTTAGCATGCTAGTTTAATTAGCATAATGAAATGATATTTACTTAGATATTAAATAATTATTCGTCTTATTGTAGCTTGTTAGTTTATTTAGTCAATTCGGTTAGTGAAAAACTATGACCAGTAAAATACAAACTTCCGATCTAAGCCCTGCCTGTGGCTTAGTCATTATTATCCCATTCCGTCAGAAACCGATTTCATTGTAGTATTGTTCGTAAATCCACTTATATAATATTTAGGGGCTCTTTTTTATTAGTTTATAAACCAATTATGTAATGAACTTTTAGAAATGGAATTAAAGAAGTCACTTTTGTAACATGATATTTATTTACATATATAACATTACAATAATACTTCAAATTTTCACACAGTAATACAACATTCATCTAATATAGGTACCTATTCTATTAAAACATCATTTTCTTCATTTATCCGAGGAACGTAATTGAGATCATTATGAATATTATAGGAATTCATATCTTGTATGTTAAACGGCTGCTAAAGTAGATCTTCAAACTTTCCGTTTAACTGTATGTTTGCCTCAATTAAGTTCGTTCGTTCGTCTTTTAGTGGTTTTATAGATAGCTTTTTCAGTAAATAAAAAAACGACTAGTAATTATGGCATGTATGGAATAAAAAAATCAAAATTTATTCTAAACAATCAATAAGTGAACGCAATATATATTGAGCTCAGTGTGCTTAGTGCGAGTTTTTTATTATCCTTGATAGCGTAAAAGTTAGCTCATATATTTTGTATGGAATGGGATCATTTGCCTACGCTTGCCGCTAGGGGCGCTGTTCCAACTGCATACAAAATTGGCTTAACTTTTACGCTATCGAGAATGTTAAGAAACCCGCACTAAGCATACTGTTCTCAATGGCAAACGGAGACGAATGATTAATGAAGCGCACTTAGCCTGCGCTACGTGGTGAGCAGCCAGATTTACAACCAAGGCAAGGTGAAAAGATACATTAAATAACTCAACATCAACACAGAACATACCTTCATAATTTGCATTGGTTACCTGTACTTTTTTCTAATAGGGGTTGATTTCCACCAATAAATATTGCAAACAAATTATAAAGGTTATTTATATATTTCCTTCCTTCTTAGATCTCAATGTAAACGTGTTAAATGGCGTCAACGTTTTAAAAAACTGAAATGCTACTTTTCGTAATAATAATGTAAAGAAAAATCGGACGTCTTGCTTTTAATTTATGAATCGCTATGCTTGCGTGTGCTTTAATAAAAGCAATCGACCATTTAAGCTTTAAAGGGCTCTAAGTGAGCTGACATTATCATTTCAAGGTCAGAGATATAATTATACTAACCGTGTGCTTCGTAGTTTCTAAGTAAAAGTGGTTCATCGTCAATTATAATTAATTCATAGTTGTTAAGATGCGTTATAAGACCGTATCAAAATTGAGTGTGTATTCTGAAAATGCTTTTTGCCAGCTTTCGGATCGTTGATATAAGCATGTAAGAGAAAGTAATATGGTTCTATAGTTGCATAAAAGCTGAATATGATACGTGCGTGTCTTAAAGAACAACAGCTTCATCACCCGAACGTAATTAGTCTTGAATTTGATATACGACGGTCGCGGGTCAAGCTTCCATTCGCCTTGGCAGCAAGACTGGTTTCTCGCCATGTAGTACAGGATCAAGTGTGTGAAATTGTTTTACAATAAATAAAGGTATTCAAATCTCATTCTCTGGTTTGCGGTACCACTACATAGAGGAGGAATAGTTGTTAAAGTAACAAAAAAAATTCTGGATTTGTTGAGAGGCAAGGTTTTAATTAGGATTTCGAGGCTTTTTAATAAAATACCTTCGGAAACAGTGACTAGAAAACAAAGTGCAACAGATACATAGATAATACATCTGTTTTACATCCCTAGTAATTTTTTATTCACAAATATCAGACTATGCAGATATTATTCTTGATTTAAGTTTAATAATTGGAAGATAGTAAATAGAACTCACAATTTACAATCAAGTATATAACACAAGGACAGAATACAAAAAACAACTCAATATCCCAAAACAAAACCAACTGTTTTGGATACGGAAGATATACAATATTCATTACAAAACATTAAATGTCGAGAGCAATGCTTTTATGAGTTCAACCAGATAATCATTAATTTAGTACAATCCTATATTACATTAAAGTATACGAGCCAAATATGTTTAAATTAAGAAAACACACAATAACATTAGGTAGGTACATGAATCTGACAGTCTTTTCTTTTAAATCATTTTTCAAAAACTTTAAAATACAATATCAATTTTTAATAAAGCTATTTATATACATTACTTACAATTTTAAACATATTTAATAGAAAACATTTACAATAAACCTTTAGATATACATTCATTAAAGATGATGTTAATTATTTTTCATGTAGTTTAAGTAGTTGCTATATTTTTTTGCTAAGTAATTGTAGCTAGCGTTATAACAGCTTTTTTTTTTCACACACATGCGACGGTTGATTGGAACTGCGGGTGTTGCCGTCGCATGGTTTGACGTCACCTGAGGAAATTATAAAATTGATTTGAATTGAGCTGTTACATACTCTAAATTATTTATTTATTTATAACTTTAAATACTTGACAGTATAAAGGCGGACTTAATGCCATAGGCATTCTCTGGCAGTCTACCTTAGGGGGGTGCAGAGATGAACCTTGGTAGGTGTAGTGTGATATTACTTAAACATATGTATGTATATAACATACATAATATTTATAGATACAAATACTCGTACTTAAACAAATACATATACATAAATATATAGTACATATAAAAATACATATAAATAAATATTATCAAATAGGTGACTCTGCTAACTCTCTGAGAAATAGTTCTCGAACCCTCGTCTTAAACGCTTATTAAATTACATTTATTATAAAAATATATTCCTTATTTATTTTTTTATAAATAAATTGCTTATGTATGGTATGTACCTGTATATTTTTGTGTATTTATTTGTAATTTAATATAAATTTCATTGCACCTACCACTTTTACCCTGCACTACCTTTAGTTGACTGGTAGAGAATGCCTTAGGCATTAAGTTCGCCAGAATGCATTTTAAATAAAGTGTAACAAAAAAAAACTAATAAATAAATGAATATCAAGAACGTGAATTAATTTTACGTAAGCGTCTATGCTTACAACAAAATGACGTCATAAGATACCAAGTGCCAAATCAACAGTAATTTAAGTGTTTTTTTTATTTTTCTTGCTTAGATAAGTGGACGAGCTCACAGCCCAACTGGTGTTAAGTGATTACTGGAGCCCATAAAAATCTACAGCGTAAATGCTTGAGATATAAGTTCTAAGGTCTCAGTATAGTTACAACAGCTGCCCCATCCTTCAAACCGAAACGCATTACTGCTTCACGGCTGATATAGGCAGGGCGGTGGTACCTACCCGCGCGGACTCAAAAGAGGTCCTACCACCAGTAAAAGTCTCAAGTTGTTCAGGCACTTTTTCGGTTTACTTGTTACTATTTAAAAACAGGCGACAATAAAAACCCTGGCACCTTTCTGCCGCAGTTAGAGTAGTCTGACTAGGTTCCTGCTCCTCCAAAGAATGCGAGTGCACTGGTCTGTGGTTGGGACGCCTCGCGGAGCCTTCGTCGGACTCCCGGCGTGCTCCGCCCCCACCGCAGAAGCACTTGCAGATAATACGTTTGAACGCGATTCTGCGGACGAATCGAAATACGCGCTTATATTTTTATCACCTAATTGGGTGAACCTTAAGCGCGTAGTGGGTAAATATATATTTGCAGAAGATATAATAGAAAATACGTATTGATCTGTTAGAATCAGTGTTTTTTTTTAATTTATTACATAGTAAGGTGGACGAGCTCACAGCCCACCTGGTGTTAAGTGGCTACTGGAGCCCATAGACATATACAACGTAAATGCCGTCACTCACCTTGCGTTATGAGTTCTAAGGTCTTAGTATAGTTACAACAGCTGCAACATCCTTCAAACCGAAACGCATTACTGCTTCACGGCCGAAATAGGCAGGGTGATAGTACCTATCCGTGCGGGCTCACAAGAGGTCCTACCACCCGTAATTACGCAAATTATAATTTTGACGGTTTGATTTTTATTACACGAGCTTATGCCTTCACCGCGGAAGTCAATCGTGAAATTTGTTAAGTACGTATTTCATTAGAAAAATTGACACTCGCTTGCGGGATTCGAACACCGGTGCATCGCTCAACACGAATGCACTGAACGCATTACCACTTAGACCACGACGATTTCCAAAAATTTGTTAATATTAATAAATTTCAAGGAACATTATTGTAGCTATATATTTTTGTTTTCTACCTAAAAACTCCTCAAGGCTACCAGTTTTTATTTCAGCTACGCACGGTTTGGCCGACGAGCTCACGGAGCTGAGCATAAGAGAACTTTCTAACATTAGCCCTAGCAAGAGCAGCTTTTTGCTGGATCTGCCAACGGACCGGAATCCATCAAGAAGATCCGGCGAGGAAATCAGTAGGTTCTGTGTTGTGGTCTAGGTTGCATGTCGAACTCGCATTCGACTGGTTCGACAAGAACGGTGATCGGTGCTTGGAGCGTATAAAATAACAGAGTGGATCAGGAGGACCCGATATCATAAATACGTAGAAACGACATGTTACCCATAACTGTAACTGTAAATTGTAGGTGCAAAGATCTTCCATCGGGCGGATGAATCACTCGGTAGACCGACTGTGCTGCTTTAGTAAATTACTCATATCGGGATGCGTCTTCGTATAAATTTAGTTCCCCAATTATCATTTAATTCTTGATCGATTAAGCATTGAAAAAAATTACCGAAAATCTTTGGAGAACAGAGCATAAATGAGTGGATTGATAGCAGAGTTGCAGTATCCCAGCCAGAATAGTACGGAGAAGACTATGGGAGTAACGCATTCGCCACAGAACGCCCGGACCACGTAGACGCTGAAAAATGGCAGCCAGCAGAACACGAAGCCTCCGACTATAATGCCCAGGGTTTTTGCTGCCTTGGTCTCCATCTTGAAGCGCTTCACCTGAAAAGAAAACGAAGTATATTCCGTATTTTCTTCGGCTTTCGCGAATCTAAGAAGTAATTGAGCTTACTTTTGCGGTTTAATCTCGCATATATATTTTTTTAATGCTTGTATGAGTGGACTGGAGCCCATAAACAACTACAACGTAAATGCCGCTACCCTCCTTGAGATACGAGTTTTAAGGTCTCAGTATAGTCACAACGGCTGCCCCGCCCTTCAAACCGAAACGCATTACTGCTTCACGGCAAAAACCAGCAACCTGCAGGGTGGTGGTACCTACCCATGCGGACTCACAAAAGGTCCTGCCACCAGAAAAAATGAATCAACTGTCATTATAATACGAATAACACAGTTTTCGTGGTCAAAGACTTGTTATACGTCGACTTTTGAGTATTATGCTAATTACCCAGAATAAATTTTGCGTTTAATTTTAATTAGAAAAAACAACAGTCAATCATAATTTACCTGTGCTTTGATATTCCTCTTCCCCATGCGTCGAGTTCGTGGCTTATCGTCATAATCATCGTACAACGGTCCGGGATGTAAATGATGCGTAGGTCTGACCCTAAGTCTGCTCTCAGTCAGTTCCCTTCCATCTCTCTCGTAATGAACGGCGTACAGAGAAGGACTAGGAGATCGGCTGGGCGACCGAGAATTCTCGTGGGCCGGACAGATTTGTTCCGTTGACGGATAAGAGACGGATATTTTGACTTTCTCGTGGGCCCGGCGAGCGCTTGAGTGTCTGTAATGTAACTAAAACGGTTTATGAGCCGTTTGACATTCGGGACTATTTTGGTAATTGTATGGGCCGTTTGATATTCGGATCTATTTTGGTAATGGTATGGGCCGTTTGACATTCGGGACTATTTTGGTAATGGTATGGGCCGTTTGACATTCAAGACTATTTTGATAATTGTAAAAAATATTTGTATTGTTCAATAACAAAAGTTTTCGTGGACTTTTTTTCAGTACTATTACATTATCAATGTTCATTTTGTTTTTTTTATTATTTTGCGTTCTCTCCGAAGTCTGATTAATAATAATACGTAAAAATAATGATTAAGGTGGCAAATGCATAAATTAATATAAACGAAATATATTTTCATAGAATCACAGTACTTCAAATAAATGTAAAGAATTATATGAGTAGTAAAAAATATCCGCGGAAAATTGTCGATACCGTGAGGTATGTCTAGGCGAGTGATCTAGTTCCAGCGGTAACGGTACGTTTTTATTTTTATTGCTTAGATGGGTGGACGAGCTCACAGCCCCTCTTGTGTTAAACGGTTACTGGAGCCCATAAACATCGACCACGTAAATGCGCCACCCACCTTGAGATATAAGTTCTAAGGTCTCAGTATAGTTACAACGACTTCCTCACCCTTCAAACCGAAACGCATTACTGCTTCACGGCAAAAATAAGGAGGGTGGTGGTATCTACCCGCGCGGACTCACAAGAGGTCCTACCACCAGTAATTACGCAAATTATAATTTTGCGGGTTTGATTTTTATTACACGATATTATTCTTTCACCGTGGAAGTCAATCGTGAAAATTTGTTGAGTACGTATTTCATTAGAAAAATTGGTACCGACCTGCGGGATTCGAACACTGTTGATGCAACAGTGTTCAACACGAATGCACCGGACGCCTTATCCTTTAGGCCACGACGACATCAAAATTGTGGTAATAAATATGTGATATTACCTTCTAAGTCGTTCTGGCGAGGCGCTCAGCGACGTGCTTGTGGAGTGATTAGAGGCTGTTGACAATGGTGAGCCGTGAGGACGATTGGATCCTCTGCCGCGATGTATTCGCAGCGTGAGACGGTTGTCATCGAAACGACTGCCCAGCCCTCTACCTGAGAAGTAAGCTAAATAGGCTATTGTGTTGCAATTGAAACGAACCAGAATTATATATTTGAGGCCGTCAGCGCAAAAATGGCCTAAGCTTACCACAGTTAGTATGGAGGCAGTTAGGTTTGAATTTTCATGAATTTTTAATTTGAGTAAGGAAAAAATCAATACGTTCGAAAATAATGTTTACAAAGCTATCAGTTGTCTATTATAGATAGGCCAGTTTTGCATCAAAATTTATTATATTTTAAATAAATTCGAATATACATCATGTAAGCTGGTTATAAAAAGTGTCACTTTTGCGCTGATGGCCTCATTTATGGTGCACCATATGAAATGCAAACCCATAGAAGCTTTAACGTGAATACCGCCTTGAGATATGCTATAGAAATTTTAATTTTATTGTTTAATAGCTAAACTGGAGCAGCATGCAATTTCACCTGGTGAAGAGTCGAGATCAGGTCAAATTGCACCAAGTGAATACCCAACAAGGGATAACGTCAGCTCGCCGTAAAAGTCATTCCAAATTCCTATATAGCATGATAAGACGACATAATATGCTGACCTTATAATGCATCCCACATCCCACAATGACAAGAAGAAATATAACATTAGATGCGTTCTACCATCAGGAACTCCAGATTCTGGATCACAGTAAACTGGTATAATATTCATAGAACGCGGCTTCCCATTCTGAAGCGAAGTAATCATGCGTTTAGGTCATTGTGCTTAGTGCGAGTTTTTTAACGTTCTCGATAGCGTAAAAGTTAACTCAAATTTGTATGCAGTTGGAACAGCGCCTCTAGCGGCAAACGTAGACTTTGCTTTAGGCATTAACTTAGGCAAACGCTATAATAATGTTAAAATACTCGCAATAAGTACACTGAAGCTGTGTTTCAGAGCTCATATCCTAATCTGGGTGGCGGTATTTACGTTGTTATCTGTGGTATCCGGTAACCACTAACAACAGGTAAGTCGTCAGCCCTTCCATATCCCTAAGCAATAAAAAGGGTGATAGTCATTATATAATTCAATTAAGGTTTCGGTATTGCGATGTGCATATTCCCCTTTGAGAATTTAATGTAGAGCCGTTAGTTCTTATATTCGATTAAATACTGGTGGTAGGACCTCTTATGAGTCCGCGCGGGTAGGTGCCACCACCCTGCCTATTTCTGCCGTGAAGCAGTAATGCGTTTCGGTTTGAAGGGCAGGGCAGCCGTTGTAACTGTACTGAGACCTTAGAACTTTTGTCTCAAAGTGGGTGGCGTATTTACGTTGTAGATGTCTATGGGCTCCAGTAACCACTTAACACCAGGTGGGCTGTGAGCTCGTCCAACCATCTAAGCAATAAAAAAAATTAACAACAATATTTAGATGAGAGATTTTTTATAGTACAGCCTACAGAAATACTTCTTATTACTCTACATATAGAAATTCTCATACAAACCAATCTAAAAAAAATTCTCACCTTTAGTAGTTCTAAAGCCTTGATTAATTGCCTTGGTGGTTCTAACGGCAGCTTTGTAGATCCTCCAATAGAAGAATAGCATCACGAACATCGGGATGTAGAAGGAGCCCAAAGCTGAATAGACAACGTACCCAGCATCATTGGTCAACTCGCAGGTCCACTGGCACGGAGGATTGGGAGCCCAGCCTTCTTTATGGGTTCCGTCATCATCCTATGAACGAACGAATAGGGTTGTTAACGAACGAAGCGGTGCCCCCCCTCTACGTGCTGCGGGACGCGCGCGCGCCGCAGCCATCCCATTCCGCCACCGACCGGCCGTGCGATCGCGCGCGCCCGCTGCACACAATTTTTGTTGGAGCCTCCGTGATTCAAGAAAACACGCGCGGCCATCACAAGTTGCTGCCGCGTGTTACATCAAGAAGCCTCGTTAACAAGATTCGAGCCGGATACAACTTTGAACATCGTTTCAAGACAAAACGGAACAAAGGAGTATATCGACATTGGCGAGGTCATTCGAGAAACATCGAGACACGGATTGCTTCGCGGCGCGTCGGCGTGAATCATACAAATTCAAGACAAGACTACAACAAATCAAGAAATATTGCTGTGTTGTGCCAGTTTTTACGAATACAGTGCAAATCATTTTGATTTTATAAATTCCAGCGATCCGACGCCAGACCACGCCGCGCGGCCGCGTGGCTAGCTGCAGTCGCGCCTGTCCTTTCTGCTTCGCATTGCTTCTGTCGCAACTTCTCTGCTTTAAGTATTGTTTTGTATTCTTCCCTTTTTTCTCTCACGCTAATTATTGCTAATTATTAATTGCTTTCAGTTGAAAAATTTGAAATTGATTTCGGTTGGTGTCATTTGCTTATTTATTTGCACGATGGATATTAAATCATTAAAGAAAACTAGATCTAGCCATAAGGCGAAGCTTACCATATTTAAAACATATATAGATTCACTTTTGCCTAGTAAAAGGGTCAATGAGGTACAAGCTTTTGAATTAAAGGCTCGCTTAGATAAAATTCTAGATTTATACAATGAGTTCGATTCAGTTCAGACTGATTTAGAAAGTCTTGTGGAAATTTCAGATGATGAACACAAGGAAAGAGAGATTTTCGAGAACAGCTACTTCGGCTGCGTGGCTTTTGCGCAGAAGATGCTCAGCGCTGCCTCTGCGGATCAGGATGCCGGGTCGGTGACGGGTTCTAATATTAACACTGGACCGTCTGGTAGGCCAAACATTAAATTACCTACTATAAATTTGCCGATCTTTTCTGGACGCTATCAGGAATGGCTAGAATATCACGACACTTACAAATCCCTTATACACGACAACACAACCATTCCCAAAATCCATAAGTTTCACTACTTACGAAATACATTAAAAGAGAGCGCTTCACATATTATTAAATCCCTAGAGTTCTCCGCTGAAAATTATGACATNATCTAACGATATTATTTCATACGGTGCTGAAAACGAAATTAATTTCAAATTTAGTCCAGCCTACAGTCCACATTTTAACGGCGTAGCAGAAGGGTCAGTTAAATCAATTAAAAAACATTTAACTCATGTATTGTCAATGGCTCATTTGGATTATGAAGAGATGAACACTGTATTGGTTCAAATTGAGGCAATACTGAATTCTAGACCTCTCACTCCAATTTCATCTGATCCATCAGATTTAGTTCCTCTTACACCAGCGCATTTCTTGATTGGACGAACGCTCACTATGTTACCTGCTCCCCAGGTCGATGATACTCCAGTTCATATGCTTTCCAGATATAAAAGGATACAATTATTAAAAACACATTTTTGGAATCGATACTACAAGGAGTACGTTTCAGAATTGCAGATCCGAAACAAATGGCGCACAAATAGAGGACAACCACAGCCAGGAGAGATGGTTCTCATTAAAGATGATCGGCTGCCCCCCAATAGATGGCTGCTGGGACGTGTCACCACAGTTTACCCAGGCGCTGACGGCGTCAACCAGGTGGCAGACGTAAAAACTACTTCAGGAACCTTACGCAGAGCTTGGAATAGGCTCTGTCCATTACCAGTTATGTTGGACCAGAAAGATGCATCTGCTCCAAGAGGGCCAGTTTGTTAACGAACGAAGCGGTGCCCCCCCTCTACGTGCTGCGGGACGCGCGCGCGCCGCAGCCATCCCATTCCGCCACCGACCGGCCGTGCGATCGCGCGCGCCCGCTGCACACAATTTTTGTTGGCGCGTCCATTACAAAGGAGCCTCCGTGATTCAAGAAAACACGCGCGGCCATCACAAGTTGCTGCCGCCTGTTATATCAAGAAGCCTCGTTAACAAGGGTTATGAGGAATGCTCTTTAAGACCTCATTATAAAATACATAGTCTAATCTGTAACTAGGTTAATGAGGATAGGACGTATTATAGGTACGGTTAAGCTTTTTTTTTCCTAGATATTCTAGTGACTTTGAGAAGTCATACTTCATCACTAGGTCAAATTCACTAGGTGAGCTTACAGGGCTCTATCCTGGCGAATTTGCCAACATTAGCCCTAGCAAGAGCAGTGCTTCGCAGAATCTACCACCGGATCGGAATTCCGACCCATTGAGAAGATCCGGCGAGAAACTCAGTAGGCTGTACCACTATCCGCTTTTATTGAATTTATCAAATACACTTGAGTCTCCGACTTTACAATGCAAAGTAGTTGGTGGCATCCATGCTCTGATATATGTAAGTTCCCCCAACTACTTACAGCATACGTCAATAAATATTTCACATCGACTTTTAGAAAGAGGCAATCGGCTAATATCGGCTTCGTAGTACGTTATCTCTGTCGGACGAAACACTAGCAGTGCGGTATCTAATAGGAGCCCTTTTTTTATATGATTGAAAGATTACTGGTAGCCCGGTGGCCTTTCCAGTTTCACCAGGACAGGTGGGCGAGCAAAGGCTCAGCCAGGAGCGGTGGGATTTGCTAACAACTGCCCGAGCGCCTCCGTAGGAGACCTAACAACTCAACAGCAATTAGGAGGCCTCACTACCGCACTTGGACAACGCCCGACAAAAACCACATGGATGACAAAGATAACGGTGTGCGACAAAGATAATGAGGCCGAAATTAGATGATTATGTCTTACCAAAGGTCCATGGGTAATGATTATCGGTAGGTACTATAACAAGAGGCAGGCCGGTGGCAGTGGTTAACATACAAAGAATTTTGTTTATTAAAATAGAAAATAACAAAAAACTCTCACCCTTTTATCCTTCCATCCTACCAGTGGCGGGAAACAAATTACGAAAGAGAGCACCCATAGACCGGCTATTAATGCTTTAGCCCGCTTCCTGCTCATGATACTCGGGTAGCTGACAGGACGGGTGACAGCCACGTATCGGTCCAGGGATATTGCGCAGAGATTGAGAATAGAGGCGGTGCACATCCACACGTCCACGGCTAGCCATACTGAGCACCACACGTCGCCAAAGATCCAGACCTGAAGACGGAAATTAACTTAATCTTTACTGGTGGTAGGAGCTCTTGTGAGTCCGCACGGGTATGTACCACCGTCTCGCCTATTTCCGCCGTAAAGCAGTAATGCGTTTCGGTTTGTAGGGTGGGACAGCTATTGTAACTATACTGAGACCTTAGAACATATATCTCAAGGTGGGTGGAGCATTTACCTTGTAGATGTCTATGGGTTCCAGTAACCACTTAACACCAGGTGGGCAGGGTTAGCTCGTCCACTCATCTAAGCAAAAAAAAAAAAACTGCAGACATGAATTTCGAATCCGTCGAATCCGGACCGCTTTACTGGTGGATCTTTGATTTAACTTTAATCCGATAGCTATCAAACTTCACAAACATCACCCGCCGGGCCAATCTGTAGATTTCCTGAAAATTTCATCGTAATTGGTCCAGCTCGTTATACAGAAAACAAACACATAAACTTTTATATGATAAAATAAAATTTGGAAAACAAAATTATGTTCTCTAGCGATGCTAACGGACATATTACGTCCCCTTTTAGTAGCTTTTAAGTACTCTCACTGCTTCTTTATAGTTTAGGTAGTAAAATATATTAATGCGCTATGTTATTGAACAAATTAAACCGTATAACCTGGCTCTTCTTTTTATTTCTATTTAACGGCCTTCGCCTTAAGATTCTAGGGTATGAGCAGAATTTCAAGATCAGTAGAACCAACAATGCAGCAGACGGTTTTTTTGAGTGAAGACCGCGCATCGGCAAACATGCCAAATGTGGAACACCCTTGGACAGGTGAAGTAAAGATTTGCGAAGAGTGGGCGGCAAGCAACGGATAAACGTCGCTTGCGACGAGGGGCTTGACGAGTAAATTAACCCACAGACACAGCCCACTGAGTTTCTCGCCGGATCTTCTCAGTGGGTCGCGTTTCCGATCCGGTGGTAGATTCTGCGAAGCACGGCTCTTGATAGGGTTCGTGTTAGCATCGTCGTCAGGTTTGAGCCCCGTGAGCTCGCCTACTAGTTAAGGTTACGCTGAAATAGCCTCTCAAGGCTATCAGCTTAGGTAGGAAAAAAAATGGATAAAGAGCCGTCGCATACCGAATCAAGTGGTATAAATTGGGAAAGACCTATGTCTAGTGCTGGACAATTGTGAGCTGATAATCAGGTATCATCAGGCAGATCAAAAACAAATAACAAAACTCCACCTGAACAGATTTTTCTCTAATAAAAACGTCGCGAAACGGGTTTGCTAGCAAAATTTCAATTAAAAATTGCAGAAAACGAGGAAGCTTCAGAAAAAAAAAAAAACAGTTTCCGTATCAAACAACAGACGGCATGAAACAATCGTTTGCATTGTCGCTGACGAGCGACGCTTAAAAACCCATTAAAAACGCATTAATGCGTTCAAAGAAACCGTAAAGTTTCGAGGAAATTAAAAAAGCACCCGTAAACATTTTACGTTTCATAAAATTTGCTGTACACACAGTGTTTTGGCGTTCCGTTGCACGCCATTATTTTCATTAATGAAGCCCTTTAAAATCCTCAAGGCAGAAGATGTCAATAAAGGGTTGAACTTTCACACACGAAAACAGTTCTTTTAGTCTACGGAGAAAGGGTCAAAATTGAAAAATGGGAAATGTTTTTAATACGTTCAAAATTTTAATGACAACCTTTTAAAGTTAATTCCGCATTCAAATGCAGTTCGCGTTTCCCTTTGCTTAAATTCTTTACTCTCTATTTTAGAATAAATATGAATTTGCGTATTAAAATGACCGGTCGGCTTGCGGCTGAATATTATAGAGATACTAGCTTTTGCCCGCGACTTCGTCCGCGTGGAATAGTTCACAAATAATGCTTTATTTTATTCCAAATTTGGTTAGCATAAAAAGCTTTATAGGGAGCCAACTTAACATATAGGCATATGCTGTCGCAGACTTTTTTTTAGATCTTTTAAAGGGGAACAATTATCTCATACATTACTTTAGCAAAACTAACCGTTTCCGCAGCGCACGCAGTGGAAGCTCTCAAAAGGGAAAAAACCCCAGTTTTGAAACATACTTTATTGGTGCTCCGCCTGCATTGATCTTAGCGTGATGTTATATAATCTATAGCCTTCCTCGATAAATGGGCTATCTAACACTAAAATAATAATTCAAATCGGACCACTAGTTCCTGAGATTAGCGCGTTCAAACAAACAAACTCTTCAGCTTTATAATATTAGTATAGAATAATAATAAGGGTACATAATATTTATTATACGCATGTAATTTTTTTCATGTTCAAATTTAGTTCATATTGACTTATATTTTTTACTTTAGGAAATTTTTTTCACCTACGGATAGCGGTAATGCCGCAGTAAATTTTGTATCTAAACGTCTTTTAAAGGAAGATTGATTTTAGCGTTTAATAAATACGGCAGAAGAGAATTTGTTCCAAAGGGAAAAAAGTCAGATATGACAGTATGCTTACATAATGAATAACTTAATAATTTTATTATTATACTAGCCGTAATCGCCCGCTCCGCTGGGCATTTAAAATTAACATTATTAATTATTGTCATTATTATTAGGGAGTCCAACCTTCATATAAATATTAGCCTATCTATTAAGTACATGTATTCTACATGGATACCAAGTTTCAAGTCAATCGGATGCATGGTTCAGTAGCTATAACGGAGCATCCGTAAAACCACTGTAGATTTATAGATTAGTATAGATAAACTTTTCCAGAAAGTTAAACATAAGTAATTAAACAGTATTAACATTTTGATTCTCTGTAGCTCGCTAATCAGCAATGCCACTCTGTGATTAAAACTTCTTTTACGGATTAATTTCGCGCTTTTTACTTGTTTTTTTTTTCTCCCTGGCTATTCGCTGGTAGCCTAAGAGGCTATTCCAGCTACGCCCGGACGGATAGGTGAGCTCACATAGACACAGCCCACTGAGTTACTCGCCGGATATTCTCAGTGGGTCGCGTTTCCGATCCGGTACTAGATTTTGCGAAGCACTGCTCCAGCTAAGGTCAGTGCTAGCAACACTCCCGGTTTGAGCCCCGTGAGCTCACCTACACGTCAAGGCGAAGCTGCAATAGCCTCTCAAGGCTATCAGCATAGGTAGGAATAAAAATTAAACAGTCTCAAGTTTCAAAATGACCGACAGCATTCCCATTGTGCATAATACGAGAAAGCTCACAGTCCAATTTTTAATTTTATTGCTTAGGTGGGTGGACCAGCTCACAGCCCACCTGGTGTTAAGTGGTTACTGGAGCCTATAGACATCTACGACGTAAATGCGCCACCCACCTTGAGATAAGTTCTAAGGTCTCAGGTATAGTTACAACGGCTGCCCCACCCTTCAAACCGAAACGCATTACTGCTTCACGGCAGAAATAGGCAGAGTGGTGGTACCTACCCGTGCGGACTCACAAGAGGTCCTACCACCAATTTATTACGTTAATCGTCTAATAATTTTATGTTTGTCCGTTTTTCCCGAAATAAGTTAAATTAACCAGTTACCCAAAAGATGCCGCTGTTTATAAATCTTCCCGTTCTCAATTTAATTATAAAATTAATTAAATTCAACAGAGCTTCTGGTCGCATCTGGTACACCCGAAAATTTCTCATTAATTTAAATGATATACGATTTTAATATCGTTCGTTTTACGTTTTATGGTTACTAAAATAATAATAGATTAAAAGTTCAATTATTCTTATTAGCCCTTGTTTAATGCGTACTGTTATAGCTGCCCGTTGCACTCCTTCTTGCTAACTATGCACTCTGTCCCGCTACCTCAACACCCTTCGTTACACACCTATATCGGACTCGCGTTAGTGAGTCAGTCTCCTTCATCTCCTCATCCAGGACGGTCGTCTTAAATAATATAAAGTATTTTTTTTAAAAAGCTAAGTATCCTGTGGCTCATAACAGTACGAACTAAAAATGTTTGCTACCCAAATTTTATTTAACGCCACACTATTGTACGTGATGGCTGGATCGTATACTTTTAAATTGGCCGACATACAACATTCAGAGATTATTAATGATAAACCAGATTCAAGCAATATACCAGACTATCCCGCCATCACTTCAAGTTCTTTTGTCAAACTACAATACCTTCAAATCCATATGCAACTAATTTCCTACTATTCGAACAGTTTAAAAGGATGCTATCATCCGATTATATACCTATTGTGAAATAATAGTTTTATCAATTTGATCCTGCTGGGTCTTACATCATTAAAGATAAAAGATGAGTCTCTATGGTTTGATTCCTTCGCCTTTCGATTTGAAAAAAATGGAACAACTACTTTACGTGATTGACGTCTACACCTTTAGGGCATAAACATTATAAATATAGTTAGCTCATATCTATAATAGTTCCAATGAATGTACTAGTCTCGTCCGCTGTGAAGCCATTTTAAGGAAATAACGTGTCAGCGTGAGTAGGGTTAAATATAACGCTCACTTACTTCCGGAGTTAGTATGTTGTAGGAAATTTGATCTCGGCTTCCTCATCTCGAATCTAAATTGACTAAGTTACGATTTTAATGGTTTAATTTTTTATCGACAATGGCAGGCTAACACCTCATCCTCTGACGGTAACTAGTTACCGTCACTTAGACGCTAGCAATGATAAGGGAAAAGGCATGTTTCTCTGTACCAAGTAGACTCTTATTGTATTTTTTTTGGGTGGACAAGTTCACGCCCAACCTGGTGTTTAGTGGTTACCGGAGCCCATAGACATCTACAACGTAAATGCCGCCACCCACCTTGAGATACGAGTTCTAAGGTCTCCGTATAGTACAACGGCTGCCCCGCCATTCAAACTGAAACGCATTACTGCTTCACGGCAGAAATAGGCAGGGTGATGGTGCCTACCCGCGCGGACTCACAAGACGTCTTACCACCAGTAATACTAGTATACCGGTGGTACCTACTCAATGTTAGTTTTACGAAGTTTCACCAAAAAAGGCGTTTCGCCTCGCCACTAAAACAACCACCTGTAGCTT